GCATGATTAAAAGCAAAACCAAACATTTGCTTGAATTGTTTAATGTGAACTTGGTCAAAGAACACCCCCCCCGCCTCCCAAAGGATGCACAACTTTCATATAATAATTTATTAACAAAAATCCCATTAATGTCAATCAGTGGACACCAAACTTCCAACTGTGAATGCCAACGTGCTGCTTTAGCCAACGATGTGTGCTACCGTTGTCATTTTCTAACCACTCGGTTGCCACACTGAATACACAATGTCCCATGGAGAAGGCTGTATTCACCAAAACGATTTGAAGCGTTCTGAACCGTGGACGAAATGCCAACAAATCCCAGCAGTCAACCCGCGGGGCGACATTGCGGTGAGATTTTAAGGCTAAGGGGTTTGTTTAACACGTAGGCTTTCGCGACCAATATCATCCATAACAGGTTTTTGGGTTTTTTTTTTGGGTTAGATCGCGTATACGCGTATACGCGATCTAACCCAAAGCCCACCCTGCATCATGGATAAGGTTTGTGGCACACTATACACAAGCATAGCCAGCACTCCAAAAAGGTATAAACTGTGATGAACACAGAGCAAACGAAGAATTCGATGTAATTTACAAAGGAAACATCTAGCGGCTTTAATTAACAAAAAAAATATCTCAAAAGATAAACTGTATAAAGTGGACTTTAAATAAAGTTTACACAATTGGAATTATCGGTAAATATATCAAATACTAAATATAAAACGACTTAATGAGGTGTATTAAATACTATCAATGAAAACCCCGAATTAAAAGGAGTTTAATACAACTGTATGATGCTGTAATGTTTAAATACAATGTTTGTATGTAATAACGCTAACATTTTATATTAAATCTTCAATTTAAGAGCACGTGGCAGGGGATAAAACAAGTCATTGCTGGTCAACTACACCCAACTGACCTGTATACTTATCTTACCAAAGCTACGCAATTACATAAAAAAATACATTACTTTGTTGCATTTTTCACAATTATTCACCTAACTTTTATTTTCTATCGGCGTCATGCCATGACAGGAGATGTTTTCCGTTTGAAGTCCTCGCAGAACCCAATGGCATGAGCCCCATGGTGAGAGGACTGCCTCCGGAAGTGTGGCAGCACGGAGCCGAGGTCCTTTAGTCTGCCAATTAAGTGGTGGCACCTTCCCAAACACCTCTTGAGAGACGTGTGATAAAATATGTTTCGAGTATTCTGAGTCGCAATAGACTAGAAGTTATCATAAATAAGCAACACGTGCTCATAATACAGTGGTGGGAGGTAAAGGTGGACAACTTCTGATATAACTACACTTTGAATGAGCGCAGCTGGATTTGCTCTCAAGAGGTGTGCCTTACTTCTACGGCACTACAAATTAACTGAACTCATTTTAATACCAGATGCGTGAGGAACTACAGAAAAGCGAGAGGGAAGATACGGAGAGTCGGCACCAACTATTCACCAACCTCTGTGGTTCTCTATATATTAAGGTGTTTTCTGGAGAACAAGCACCCAGAGAATACCCACACGTACGAGGGGGGGGGGGGGTAGCAACACTATCCCGTGTAGATGGTAACAGATGGACATTAATCCACTTGCTGCACTGCAATCTCCTGGCAAGCCGAGGTGTTGCAACCTCGACCACCATCGCCTCCACAGTGCTGGTGTGGAGGTGTACAACCACCATCGACTTGTCACACTTCAGTACTCGGCTGAGGAGGTGGCTAAAAGTTGTTTCAAGTCCAGAATGTCACAAGTGCAGACGTGGCTTTAGCCTCCTGAACCATCTAGCGACCTGCGCAAGCAGCAACGTTGAGATTGCAAACAGATAAAATGATACACTTAAACTGAACGTGTTTTTGCTTTCATGATAGTAAATCTAATTATAACACCCATCATCATATGAATGTAGCTTTGCATTACCTAACTTTTGCTAAATCCTTGGAAGATTTACTATATAAATGTCAAATATTTCTAAATCTACACTTCACATCAACGTGCAATTTAGATGAACGCTGTGTTTCTACGTTTTAGTAATCATATTTAGTTAGCACCACAATCCTAGTAATGCAGCTCAATGGAATGTGGTAGCTTAAAAAACGGCCATTGCAGGAACGTTCAAACTGTTTTGGCGAAGCCAGCAAGTCATTCAGCAACGTCACAGCTAGCTGTGGAAATTTTTTTGTCAAGCGAAGGCTACAGGAAACTCACGATGGTAGAACACATTTGCTATATGCCATTGATCCACCCATACTGTATATGTGAAAAAGAACTTCGTAGCTAATCGGATTCCCCCAGTCAAAATAACGCTTCTGATTGAATGTTCTTGTTGTCATTTTAGAGTGCTTAAATGACTCGGTAAGTCAAAGCACCTTACATCTCTTCTCAACTCAACCATTCCATTATAGCCGTCAAGCCTAGGGGACAGCTAGTGGCCATTGTCGCTACATAGAAGAAGCCGTAAATCAGCGCCAGCCTGCAAATTGGGATCGTCTGCCAGCAGGAAGTATATGTTAATGTGATTTTTCGTAAGTTATTTGCAGGTATTTTCTCCATTCAAATTTTGACAGTGATTGCAGCACGCATGGCTTAACTCTATTTCGAATAAGATCACGTGATCTTTAACGCCCACTGTGAAGCAGACGGCACGCATCTTTGGTGAATACATGCAAGCACTCAACCAATTGCCAACCGGGGCTTAAACAACCTCTGCAAGTTGCAACAAATGTGTCATCACTCGGCCATGTAACTGTCCCCACATATATATTGAAATGAGAATTCACTGTACAATCATGTCTACAGCTATTAAACAAAGTTAAATTACGATGCACGGCATCTGTAGCCAAGCTGAGTCAGCCATTGGAATCAACGTTAATCTCCTGCACTTGGTAGACAACAGGTACTGCTTTTTGTTACCAACTTTAGCCTGAATTGGTAGCAGGGGACAGAGAATGTTTTACGGGGGTGATAAAAAAAGTGTACTATGTGACAGATTACTGCTTAAACAAAGGACGAACATTCAGTTCGAGGTACGTGACTTATAAATGGTTAACAAATGTTAAACCGATATATTAACTGTTATTATAGATTTACTTTTTTATTCCAAACTGAAAAATGTAGCATTAAAAAAAACAAGAGAAATCTAGATAAAATACTAAAACATTGAAATGAATTCCCACCACAATTGCCTCCAGGCTACCAGCACATGCTTCGACGGTTAAATAACCACTTGTGAAGCTGCGTTGCAAACAAGTAGGAACACGACGGTTTATTTGGGTGGGAATTAAAAACGTGCATTACAGATGACCCATGTCCAATGGAATTTCAGGGGTTATTCAGGTCACTACTAAGGCCATGGGAATTGTCTATGACCCCACGTAATTCAATGACTGTTGCAAAAGTCCAGTAAGCTTCCATATGCTCAAAATGTGAAACAAATGTTCGTGTAATTGCCTGAATGGAAACGTTCGGTTCAAATACAATATGAAATGAACATCTAAATTGTAAAAAAATTAAGTCCAAAAATATTTTACAAATAATACAATTATCCCCCCTCTAAAGATACCTCTTTTTGGACTAATAATTCCATTGTGTACCCTGGAATGAATAGTTTTTCATAGCATATTTATGCTTCAAATAATACTATGCTTAAAGGAGCACGAAAATCATGTAGTTTAGCACAACTAACAAATCTGCCTTGAATGGCTTTGCTGTGATTGCAAACAATGCACAATGAAGAAAAGCAGAGGGGAAAACCATCTAACACAATTACTATTTTATAACAATCATAATTTATACCACTGGCATTATGAACAAGAGGGGAAAAATATATGCTTGCTTATTTTCAATTATTTAATTCAACTACACCAACAATTTCGGAGTCTCTTTAAACGTTGTTGAGATAGCGATTTTCGACAATAGTTCTGCACACAATAAGCCAAAGGCCACACCACTTGAGTAGGTCTAACGTGCCACGTATCATAATTTGCCATTCCCCCGGCACCTCTGATTAGCACGGTTTGCTACATGCGGTGCGAAAGACATTAAACACATACAATTTAGCTTACATTTTCAAACAGTGGTCTAAATAACAGTTGACCCATTATCTGTGATGTGTTGCACCAAACTACACATTGTTTCCGTGTCGGCTGGTGGTCAGTAAATCAATCATTTTCTAATTACACCACAAGGCAGAGGGCCACTGCTGATGTAGACACTTGCACGTTCGCTTAACTTCTGGACTACAGCAGGAGCAAATGCTTCACGCTACTGTGGCAAGGTATGGTGCACAACAAAAACTATGCATGGTACATTTACATTTCATCAAAAATACTTTGGAAGAATATTTGGTAAAATAAAAGTTAAATAATAAAATATATAACAATAAAATTCTCACGACGTTTCGACTGCAACACAAGCAGTCATCATCATGCTTGTGTTGCAGTCAAAACGTCGTGAGAATTTTATTGTTATATATATTTTATTATTTCCCTTCAACGTGACTTTACCAAAAGAACCAAGAATATGAATCACTGCAGTCACGAAAGCTTTAAATCAAAAAATAAAAGTTGCAAATGTAGACAGATGGCAGACCTTTATATAATTAACTAAATAAGTCTCAACCAATTGGGTTTTAAGTGTCATTCCACTTAATTCAAATTTTAGTTTTGAGATCTCGACATATCAATAAGCTGCCAAACCAGGCCAAAACCTGCCTGACTCAGATGCTAACCACCATATTCTCCATGATAAAATTATACTTTTGACGGTGGAACACAATTCTAAAATTTTAAACTTTTATAAAAAGACTGGCATCTGTAATGATACACAAACGTAAACATCGAGAGCCAATACAACAAAATACAAAGGTGAACCTTGCTTAAAAAGGGTCACACATTGGAAAGCTACTTTTATCGAAACACTCTTTATATATACACACACACACACACGAGCTTGGCTAAAACGGTAAAAAAATGAAAAGAGCTTTTTCACTTTTATACTATTTTACAAAAATAAACTTTGAATGGTATTACTTGGAAAGTGATGTATAACAGCAAAATATGCATTTTAATCTACAATTAACGTTTTTACATTAACATTTTTTTATGTCTGATGTTTTGACGTCAGCCTTGATATCACGTCAACAAGGAAGGTCGCCATATCACGCTGGTTCATAGGTAGAAGTGCAGTGGAGGAAACGGGTGAAGGATTCCATTGCTGAAAAAGACTTTAATTTTCGCACCGAAGAAGACAGCTGTTGGGGTAAAAGGATACAAGTGTATGTCAGTGTTATGCAAGGTAAAGAGATACAGTGAGGGAAAAAAGTATTTGATCCACTGCTGATTTTGTACGTTTGCCCACTGACAAAGAAATGGTCAGTCTATAATTTTAATGGTAGGCTTATTTGAACAGTGAGAGACAGAATAACAACAACAAAATCCAGAAAAACGCATGTAAAAAGTGTTATAAATTGACTGGCATTTTAATGAAGGAAATAAGTATTTGACCCCCTCTCAATCAGAAAGATTTCTGGCTCCCAGGTGTCTTTTATACAGGTAACGAGCTGAGATTAGGAGCACACTCTTAAAGGGAGTGCTCCTAATCTCAGCTTGTTACCTGTATAAAAGGCACCTGTCCACAGAAGCAATCAATCAGATTCCAAACTCTCCACCATGGCCAAGACCAAAGAGCTCTCCAAGGATGTCAGGGACAAGATTGTAGACCTACACAAGGCTGGAATGGGCTACAAGACCATTGCCAAGCAGCTTGGTGAGAAGGTGACAACGGTTGGTGCGATTATTAGCAAATGGAAGAAACACAAAAGAACTGTCAATCTCCCTCGGCCTGGGGCTCCATGCAAGATCTCACCTCGTGGAGTTGCAATGATCATGAAAACGGTGAGGAATCAGCCCAGAACTACACGGGAAGATCTTGTCAATGATCTCAAGGCAGCTGGGACCATAGTCACCAAGAAAACAATTGGTAACACACTACGACGTGAAGGACTGAAATCCTGCAGCGCCCGCAAGGTCCCCCTGCTCAAGAAAGCACATATACATGCCCGTCTGAAGTTTGCCAATGAACATCTGAATGATTCAGAGGACAACTGGGTGAAAGTGTTGTGGTCGGATGAGACCAAAATGGAGCTCTTTGGTATCAACTCAACTCGCCGTGTTTGGAGGAATGCTGCCTATGACTCCAAGAACACCATCCTCACCGTCAAACATGCAGGTGGAAACATTATGCATTGGGGGTGTTTTTTCTGCTAAGGGGACAAGACAACTTCACCGCATCAAAGGAAAGATGGACGGGGCCATGTACCGTCAAATCTTGGGTGAGAACCTCCTTTCCTCAGCCAGGGCATTGAAAATGGGTCGTGGATGGGTATTCCAGCATGACAATGACCCAAAACACACGGCCAAGGCAACAAAGGAGTGGCTCAAGAAGAAGCACATTAAGGTCCTGGAGTGGCATAGCCAGTCTCCAGACCTTAATCCCATAGAAAATCTGTGGAGGGAGCTGAAGGTTCGAGTTGCCACACGTCAGCCTCAAAACCTTAATGACTTGGAGAAGATCTGCAAAGAGTGGGATAAAATCCCTCCTGAGATGTGTGCAAACCTGGTGACCAACTACAAGAAACGTCTGACCTCTGTGATTGCCAACAAGGCTTTTGCCACCAAGTACTAAGTCATGTTTTGCAGAGGGGTCAAATGAATAATTTGGCAGGAGCCCGGGGTCCCGCAAAAATCAGGTCAATAATTATTATTTTTCAGTCCGCCCACGTGGTCCCGACAGCAATGCGCCGCCCGCCCAGACTCGTGCCAACAAGCGCCAGCAGGCGGCGATCAACACGATGGGCGCCACCCCACCGGCCAAACGCAAGCCCGAGCGTCCGCCGCAGTCACGCGCGGCGACAATGCCCTCCGGTCAGCCGTCGATCCTCAGCTTCTTTGCCAAGGCGAGACCGCCCCCGCAGTGAATTTAACGTGTTTATGTAATTTTTCAACTTTTTACGATACTTAGTGCCCCGAGTAGCTCTCGACGAGGCCAATCAATTGACACTTGTTGTGTTGTCGGTAAGGCAAGACTCGTGTCGCTACGCGGCTTTTCACACCCCGGGGCAGCGATGGGACCTCGGGGTCCCGCCAATTGCTTCAAATACTTATTTCCCTCATTAAAATGCAAATCAATTTATAACATTTTTGACATGCGTTTTCTGGATTTTTTGTTGTTATTCTGTCTCTCACTGTTCAAATAAACCTACCATAAAAATTATAGACTGATCATTTCTTTGTCAGTGGGCAAACGTACAAAATCAGCAGGGGATCAAATACTTTTTTCCCTCACTCTATGCAACCCAAACAACATATCTGTCACCATGCAGGCACAAGATGAATTTGAAGCATCAATAAGACAACAGACTTGAACCCTAACATGGAGCTCTGAATCCCATAGATGACAAGTTTAGGATATATGTTGCAAACTGAAGCGTGTTCTTATCATACAAGGCATTTAACATCTTATTTCATCAAATTATGTTTTAGATTCATAGACTATAAGCAAACATGCATTACTGCATGTATGGGTCTCTGACACTTGACCATCAGAAGAGGGAATAATATTTCAGGCCTGCATCGTAGGGCTGAAATATTAAAAGGCAGGTGTTATTGTTGTATTAAAATGTACATCGGTGAAATCAGTGGCATCACATGTGGCATATACACTTTACCGGTGATCTTAAAGTAATCTCACTGTGTTATCTGCTAATGTTTTTACGTTGGAATTTGTTGTACCTAAACTCAGGTCCGATTTAAAATATATTTCTTGTATATTTAAATACCGAAAGAACCAAAGAGTAATACTTTTTGTCTCAAAGGATGCTTAACTCATAATTTATATATTCAAGATCGTAGCGATATTTTTGTAGATTGTTTTCCTTAAACAAGTGGCACATTTGTGATAAAAAATCTCGAATCATCATAGATTTTTGGGTCACATTGCGCAAATAAAATGTGTGTCACACTCTTCTCCACCCAATACAGCCAATTAATAAAGTTGTCACATGAACGTAGCAATGTATTACTAAAGCAGCACACCGGTATGTTGGAGTGGAATCCACAACATTTAACAAATGTTTACGATGTTTCACTGGTAATTACAACCAGCATCATCATGCAGTTGCCAAGATTGTGAAAATCTCCTCCAGCCTTGGGCCTTAAATAGGTGGCAAGTTAAAAGCAGCGATGGCGCCTCATGTGATTTTCATCATGTGCCCAGGAATTTCAACTTTTACGGAGCATAGCAGTACAGAAAATTGGTTTGACATACCTGTACAGATTTGAGTGTTATATCCCCTCAGATGCAGGGATTTCCCTAGGCACGTCAGATCATGCTACATGTAAGATTCTCTATGACTTGGCCACATATCTCAATGCAGGAACATCTTGAAAAATAATCTTGAGACTCAATGAGACTTTCTAAATTTACAACTAAATGACATAGCTATACAGTCCTCCTGTCAATTCACTGCTGGTTGAGGGACTCCCCACTCCATGCGGACCATGGGGGTTATTGGACCATACTTGGGGAAGGCAGTGATCATACACACAGAGCACAGAAGCATTGCACTGCCCACTACAGTTATGCAAGCCCTATGACAACCTTTGTGCAAGGTGGTCACCCATCCAAGTACTATCCACGTTTAACCTACAACCAGATCTGATCAGACTGGGTGCATTCTGGATAATTTGCAATGAAAATTTTCTGAAATGTTCTGGAAAAGGAAGCATAGGCATGTGTGACCAGTTACATGCTAAATCCTCACATTAACATCATGCTAATCTTCCGGTTACATGCTAATTTCTCACTTTAACATCTTGCTAATCTCTTAGTACCTTTCAGTGTAATGTTTAATATAATTTCCCAGTTACATGCTCATTTCTGACTTTAACATCCTGCTAATCTATCACATTAACGTAGCTACTTCAATGCTAAATTCTTCTGTTGATATGTAAACTCCTTTGTCAAGGCGCTCTGCTCCTCCCACCCAGCTTAAAAGACGCTGCCAAGCTTAGCAGTGTTCATTGGAGCGCTGTCTTCCCGACAGTTCTGTTTCTTCACCTGAAGACAGCTGCTTGTGTTGTGGCCGAAACATCGTGATAACTTTATTTGATTATGTTTTATTTGTATTATTTCCCTTCTACGTGACTTTACCGAAAGAACCAAGAAGATACCAACAAGCAGTTCTTGAGCAAAAGCCTTCCAAACTCAACTACTCACGATTGTGAACAAGTCTAATGCACGGTGAATAAAATTCTAACGCCCTGCGTGATACGTACATGGGTGTGTCCAGCCGACGTCTATCCTTCCTCCTCCTCTTCCCCTGGATTATCATTGTCTGCCGCGCCATCATCTTCATCGAAGTCATCGTCGTCTTCGTTGTCGTCGTCGTCATCATCGTCGTCATCGTCTCCCTCCAGGACTTCCACGTGACCCTCGTCTCCTTTATCATCGTCGTCTAAAGAGACACAAGCGATAATTTTTGTTAGAGGGACACAATTATTGCGTTGGTTTTCAGGGTTGTGCTGTGCAGTTCTCTTTGGGTTGCGCTGCGCATCGTTCGGCATGATGCCCCGACGCACAACCCGAAACACGCTTCGGAGAGGAACTTCATTGCTTTATGTTTATCAAAAGGATATATGCATTTTTTCTCAAACATGCCGAGAAGATGGAAGCAATCAAATGATATACATCAGGGATGAATGGATATAACCATTTGCCCCATCATAGTTTTGATGAATTGTCAAGATTCGTAGTTTAAATTTGATTAATGAACTACGTTTTTAACATAATGAATGTAGCAGCCTCTAGTGGCTGGAGGGGCCATGTTAACCCCCCTTATTGTATATTTGTCATTTTTTGACTTGTAAGCAAACGTATTGAACAGTGATATAGTAAAACCATATTGGGGTCATAAAAGCCTTAAGAGTTAGTCAATCATATTCTTGGTTCTTTCGGTAAAGTCACGTAGAAAGAACCAAGAATATGAATCCCTGCAGTCACAAAAGCTTTAAATCAAAAAGTGAGTCAATCGTTTAATACTCTTGTCATATGCCATCATAATTAACGTGATAATTTACATACCATTATTGAATTCCTGGTGAAATAACGTTCTGGTTACTTCTTGTGCAACTGAATGTGTCCAGGCACAAGGCAAATAGTGAAATACATAACATTCAGTGTAATTACTTTGCTCTTAAATTTTGATTTAAAGCTTTCATGACTGCAGGGATTCATATTCTTGGTTCTTTCGGTAAAGTCACGTAGAAGGGAAACAAAATAATAAAAATATAAAACAATACAATTATCACGTTTCGACTGCAACACAAGCAAGCAATCATCATCAGGTGATGATTGCTTGTCATCAGGTGATGATTGCTTGTGTTGCAGTCGAAACGTCGTGAGAATTGTATTGTTTTATATTTGTATTATTTTGTTTCCCTTCTACGTGACTTTACCGAAAGAACCAAGAATACTTTGCTCTTGATTATGCTTGTTTTACCCAGGAAAAAGCCTCACTGGGTTTCACACCTTTTTCAGGAGGGTCTTGCCAAGTTTTTGGAGTTGGTAGCAAAGTTGCTACGTGTAATCACAATTGAGTAACTTGCAGGTAATATTTTACTTGGATGTTTGGCCAATACCAGTTACAGTGCATACATGTTTTTGCTATGGGAAGAAACTAAAACACCAAGAGGAAATCCATGCAAAACACAGGGGGGTGAATATACAAGTTCCACACATGCATCCAAGCAGGGAATCGAACCCAAGGCCTTCTTGTCAAAGCACAAGTGTTCCAACTCTGCCACGCTGCTGCCCTCTCCACACATGTATGTAAATGCTACAGATATATACATACTTTGAGAATATGACTCTCACCTTCAATGAGCACTTCCCCATCATCTTCAACATCTTCAAACTCCAGGGCATCATCTGCTCACACAAGACACAGATGTGTAAGGCTACATTTATGACACATTTGATCAGGTTAATTATTCAGCCCATCACCCCCCTGCAGTGCGTTAAAGGAGTACTACTTTGCAGTCAACAGTGGTAGTACCTGTGGAGACAGAACTGGCCCTTACCATTGGAATGTGGAATTTCCACCAACGACTCAGAGCTACTAAAGGAGATGAGCACTGCCCAAAGCTCACTTGGGAGGCAGGCACTTTTGTCTTTGATTTTTCAGTTGGTTCAACAAGAGCATTGCTTTGCCGATTGTAACTAAAGGCACAAGAGAGTGACTTTTCGGGCTTCGGCTTACCGTCATCATCATCAATCTCCTGCACGTCACCATCGCTGTCATCATCGTCGTCGTCATCCTCATCGTCAATTATCACCACCGAATCATCCCCCGTCCCCTCTTCACTGAAAGGGAAGGGGAAATATTTGCACCATCGTGACCATGTGGAAGCGAGTGTAGTGGTGAATGTTGCTTTTTTGTCAAGTTCACGGAATATTTACTGACAAACATTAACTTGTATCCATGCACGGAGTAATGATAACGACTTACTTATCCAAGGAAGCCTCACTGACATTCAAGAACCCTCTATAAGAGAGTCATGCATTGGGGTAGTTAGTCAATTTCTTTTTTGTATTTTTTTGCCCAATTATATTTTAACTGTGCTCATTAGCATTGTGTTATGTTTCATTGTCTTATTGTTGTGGTCTACTGATTAGCCAAAATGTATGACTTTTGTTGGCCATAGTCATTCAATGAGTACCTGCAGATGGCATGCTTTACAATGTAATTCGCTACGTATTGAACAGTGCTCACCTTTCGCTGTCAAGGCCATTCTCTCCATCATTGTCGGGCAAAAGGTAATATTGAAGGGGATTGGGCCACATGTCGTCCTTAAGAACCTGCCAGCAGAAACACACACCACCAGGCCTCAATGCGCGTTTTAAAATTACATCTTACTCAGCTTACCAGGTGACAACCTGGGTATTGCTGCATTGTGATTAGGTGCACAAATAACATTGGATGATATGGACATTGATAAATGAAACGTGATTCACTATGCTATTGTTATTCTTGGTTCTTTCGGTAAAGTCACGTAGAAGGGAAACAATAAAATAATAAAAATATAAAACAATAAAATTATCACGACGTTTCGACTGCAACACAAGCAATCATCATCAGGTGTGAAAACCACAGCAAGAAAATTTGAAATTTTGTGTGAAAACCACAGCAGGAAAATTTCAAATTTTCTTGCTGTGGTTTTCACACCTGATGATGATTGCTTGTGTTTGCAGTCGAAATGTCGTGAGAATTTTATTGTTTTATATTTTTATTATTTTGTTTCCCTTCTACGTGACTTTACCGAAAGAACCAAGAATATGAATCCCTGCAGTCACGAAAGCTTTAAATAAAAATTTATGCTATTGTTGTTTTTTAATGGAGGATTGGACACACACACAAGTACTCCAAAAAAACTGCAATAGCAGACAAGCACTCTATTAATGGAAAATGTTTATATAAAGTCACAACAATTCTTTTTCAAGTTTCTCCAAAATTGAAGGTGTCACTGTTAATGGTGCTTTAAGACAATCTACCTGCAATCGATCTCCAGAGAAGCACCACTGCCCAAAATATAACAATATTGTAAAATGTTTACGACACAGCAGTTCTCTAATGATATGTAGTCTGGTCTCTTTAATTTGTACTTCACAAGGATGGATGTAATTTCTAAATGTGACTGGGTCCACATAGTGATAAAGCTCTCTTGATTTTGGGACAAACAGTGCTTCATTATGGCCAAGGAGTTTCACTGGAAAGGATTTGATCAGATCTATTATTTCAAGAAACGCCATACCTCATATTTGTTTACATAAACTATATTTGCAAATGTAAATCATCATCAGTTACTCTAACATAAATATTAATTGTGTAGAAGCATAAGAACATGAAACATAAAAAATAAATCTGTGAGCTGTGCCCGTAAAAAAAGATTACTCGTCATTTTAAAACAATATTAAACACGTTGATAGTGTTGTGTTGAGAGCTTTAATGAATTAATATTTACACGTGTGCCTATATGCAAATGTGTTTTTTTTTTTATAAACTCAAAACTATTCACAGGTTGTGATTATCTTCCTAGTAAAGGAAACCCCCGACTGTAAATGGAAAGAGGTTTTCCTGCAGTTGTTTCGCATGCAATTAGACTCCCCTCTTTGGACGCTATATAGTATTGAGAATAACACACTACTACTCGGTCTGGAGGACTTGTTCAGGAGTGTTTTCCATATGCGAGGAAGTCCCAGGGGAAAACACCCCCACACATATCATACAAAGAGACGATACTCATTATACTGCATAGATGGGTTCCCGGACCCACTTGCTGTGCTGCCACATATTGGCCACCTCATACTGCCCGCGGAACTTAAGCGTTTCGCAGAACGTTCTGTCCACTTTTGCCTCTAAAGCCCTGCAACTGCACACACGTTCCAAGACGCACGTCACCCATGGTGTACATAGGCCACAATTCCTACCTCTGCGACCTCGTCCGAGGTCGGGTCATTGTGGTCACCGAACCACATGAAGAAGCTGCTGTGTCCGCGCTTATGGCCCTTGGTGTCGGCCGGAGGGTGCTGGCGTGTCAGTTCCATGCCCGCCTTCCACCGGATAGGCGTGCTCTGCGACACCGGCTTGCCTGTAGTGCCACGCGACATTCACGGTGAGCCAAGGTAAGGGATCGTGTCGCCCTCCACTAACCTCACGGTTACTCAATATGATTTGGAAAATGAATGATGCGTTCATTCAGATCGATTTTTATACTCGCCGAAACACGTAAATGTATACAAGTCACTGCAAGCCCTTGGTCGACAGCTAAGGACACCAGTATAGAGGTGCCTCTACAAGAGCTACATCTTTTCTGGATGGTGTATCATTTTTAAAATTTATATTTTAAGCTTCAAATTCATATTCTTGTTTCTTTCGGTAAAGTCACGAAAGAACCAAGAATATTAATCCCTGCAGTCACGAAAGCTTTAAATCAAAACTTCAAATTCATGTCAAACAGCCGTTGATATATAGCATCATTATTTCTAAAATAGAAGTTACTTATTTGTGGGTTACCCCTTTATCAAATATATTTAACTCACCTGCTCGCAAATGTACTCTGCATTCTTATGCTGACTGATAATTTGTCTGGAATGGTCTATGACTTAGCAAGGAACTTTCTTGTAAAAACTTTTAAATAGCTTTAAGCACCATCTTGTTAATGACGAAAATGTACATGGAAAAAACATGCTCATTTCAATTGTGGTGTTACAACTAGCTCAAAGGTACAGAGTGCGTCGTGCTGATTGTGCACATGTTCCATTATTTACATAGCCTTTGATTCATGTCCACAGCATATTGAATCAAGGTGACCGACCTCACCGCCAGATATTGGGGTGGTGAATGGGGTGGAGTGGAGGCATAGTGGTTAACGCACTGCGCCATGAAACTGGCGAGTGATAGGTGAATCTAGTCCATGGCCCTCCCATTCACTAACCTGCACTGACCAATGTGGTGAAGTATGGTCAAACCAACCTATGTTCGACCTGTCGTAGATATGCCTTATAGTCAGCAGTGGCTTGACAAAGGGTTGTAAAATACATCAAATAATTCTGCCAGCTGCATAATAGTAACGCTTGGTAAATACATCTCATTTAATAAAAAAAGTATTTGAATGAAAATGTAGCTAAATATGGCAGTTAAATGAGGAAACTGTCAAAAAATTTGATGGAAGTAAACCTGAACTTGCCTGCTGATCCAAGGTGGAACTCTTTTGTGACGATGTCATTTTCAAAGTAAGGGTTTTCAGCAAAGTGTAATTTTATCCTGTATCCAGACTTGATATCCTCAAACTCCTCCACCTGAAAAAGGTTGAGAACTGCATTACCCTCACCTTTTCAAAACAGCATTAAGACAAGGGTCTGTATAATCTCCAAAAATCATTTAACATTAAAGCTCATTAGCCAACAGCCATTCTGGACCATGTTTTTTCCAACAGCATTTGTTTAAATTTTCCTATGTCTCATCAGTAAAGTTTGGCCAGATAAACAACATTTGCTGGGTTACCAAGGCGTTACAGGGACGCAATCATGGGTTGCTTTTAGTATTTGTGTATCAGGCCATACCCCGAGACATTTTTTTGCCAGGATCAAAGTATATATGAAAAAAAAATAGATACTCTTTGGTTCTTTCGGTAAAGTCACGTAGGAATAAAACATAAAATAATAATTAAATCACGACGTTTCGATCGCTACACAAGCGATCGTCATCAGGTGGAACCGATACAGCAGGACAACTGCTGATTTAGGAGTTGTCTTGCTGTATCGGTTCCACCTGATGACCGTCGCTTGTGTTGCGATCGAAACGTCGTGATTTAATTATAATTTTATGTTTTATACCTACGTGACTTTGCCGAAAGAACCAAAGAGTATGGATCCCTGCAGTCACGAAAACTTCAAATCTAAAAGAATAGATGTAACCCTTTTCTGGCAATAAAACAGGTTTTAAGATCATTTTAACACGTAGGCTTTCGCAACCAATATTATTCATAATAAAGGTTTTTGGGTTAGATCGCGTTATTTATAAATGTGTCGTAACCTTCCACCACCCGACACGGCCAATCAACAAAAAAGTGTCACGTTGACAAAAGACAAATAGTTCACTACTTTAGCCAACCGGTGTGTTTAAGAGTGAATCCACAACATTTACAGTTTGAGTATGATGTTTCGCTGGTAATTACATCCAGCATCATCGGGCAATTCGCCAGAATGGTAAAGCCCTCACTTGCTCCCGGTCTTAAATAGAGCAGCAGGGTAACGTCATCATTTAACTCATTCAGGTGCAGTGATTTCAGGTGGAGGAGGGGTATTGTAATTATATAATCGATTGGTAATCAGTCAATGGTTGATTAGTAATGAGTTGTAGATTAGTAATTAGTTGTAATGTGTTATTGTGATTATATGCTACGTTAGTAATCCGTTAATTAGTATGTGTTCCCCTATAAGGAATTGTAATATGTATAATTTAATAATACGCTTGCAAGCCGCACTAAGCCTGTAGCTGTCAGAGCGATTAAAGTTATTTCTATTTCTCTCAATTGCAATGGATTCTCTAATTAGTCTTTGCCAGTAATAATTAGTTTTACACAACACTTCAACGTTATCAAAATCAATTGAGTGTCCTTGTTGACAAGCATGTTCTGCCACTGCCGACAGTTGTGTTTGAGATAATTATTTCTTTGGTGTTCTTTTAGTCTTATGCTGATGTTACGTCCTGTCTGTCCAATATAGCATCTGCCACATGAACAATTAATCCGATATACACCTTCTGTTGATAATTTAGGTAATTCGTCTTTAGTGCAAGATACTAGTTTTTGAATTTTGTGTACTATACCAAATCTAACTGTAATGTTTTGCTTTTGCAAAACATGCTTTTGCAAAACATGGGCTAATTTGTCAAAAACATGCTCATTTCAATTGTGGTGTTACAACTAGCTCAAAGGTACAGAGTGCTTCGTGCTGATTGTGCACATTTTCCATTATTTACATAGCCTTTGATTCATGTCCACAGCATATTGAATCAAGGTGACTGACATCACCGCCAGATATTGGGGTGGTGAATGGGGTGGAGTGGTGGCGTAGTGGTTAACGCACTGCGCCATGAAACTGGCGAGTGATAGGTGAATCTAGTCCATGGCCCTCCAAGTTTCACCAGACTTGATATGTCTGGTGAAACTCGGACCTAAAGAAGGCCGTCTCTGGTGTACGCCAATCAGTTTCAAGGACAATGCAGATATTATCAGAGCATGATTGTTTGCAAGTTTACCATAAGTACGTGTGGTTAATGCAGACATGATTCCTTGCAAAAGGTTTATGTTTGGTGTTTGAACATCTAAACACCTCTTGTTTTATTGCCAGAAAGGGTAAAACCTATTGTTATTTTTTCATAGGCCATACCCTGCTAATAAGACACGAAGTAAAAACTGGGCCAATTGGTTGGAAGGCCTAATGGCTGATGTAATTTCATGTAATTTTAATTAAGTGATGAAACGTTGGCACCCCATGATGTGTTATCTCATTACCCACAATACATCAAGATAGCTCATGAGGATTTAAAAATACAATCTTAATAAAAGTCACGTGCTTAAAATGGTGAATACTTGGCAATTAGTGTTGCTAATTTTCATGATCTATAATACATTTTTCAGGGCTGCAAATCCATACTTTCTGAGCCCACACATGCACTGAACACCGACGTTGAAAGTAATACCCATCAGACAGAAAAGAGTACCTCAAGCTTCGTCATGTGATGGAAAGCCTCTTCATCAGTCTCATCGATCAGTGGGGAGATCTGCGGGTGATTTAGAAACTAGGAAGAGTTAAGGAAGCTAAAAAGCAATGTAAATCCATGTGGAATTTAGTGCAACGTGTAATTACGACACCTATGGCATACATGGACAGCACTTTTGTCAATCTGCTTCTCGCCGAGGGTCCATTCACTGTTGGGCTTGTGGGGGATTATTTGACCACACTTCACCCTGCTGGTCAGTGTAGGTTGAAGGTAGGAAGCGAACACATATTGAAACAAATAATTTTGCTGCATTACCCTCTTGCTTCTTACAACATATCCCTGTCTTAGCTATGTTCAATATATGCATCCATACAAAAGCAGTGCTTTTGTCTCAGAGAATTTACCAAACAGGCACATTGATCTAAGCAGTCAATGATTGAGCTTAATTAGTGTTAGCATCTTTGGCAAATTCACGTGCTGTTATCAAGTTTCAGTTTTATCAGTAAAACTTTAAGGATAGCCGGCATAATACGTAACTGCAGAATGACTCTCTAATTATATTATGGCACAAATGATTCAAATCCAGATTCACATTCAGCTCGACATGCAATGAAATAAACAAATAAAATGTTTGCGAGCCATTCTTGATTTGAAGCAGGACTGCTGTCGTAGGACAGCAGTCTCCTGCGACAGCAGTCCTCCTGCTGTCGTGGGAGACTGCTGTCCTCCTACGACAGCAGTCCTCCTGCTGTCGTGGAAGACTGCTGTCCTCCTGCGACAGCAGTCCTCCTGCTGTATCTGTTCCACACCTGATGACGGGTCGCTTGAGTTGCAATCGAAACGTCGTGATCTATTATTTTTTTCTACCTACGTGACTTTACCGAAAGAACCAAAGAGTTTGTGAGCCATGTTCTAGAATGTTACAAACTCATCAGTCTGGATCAGTTCTCTAGGCTCCAGAGCCAACACTTTTCACAATTTAATTGGATGTTTCTCCTAAAAATACCACTGCCAGGTGCAAATGACTTGTGGCCAAATATCTGATGCTAAGGCAATTTAACTTGACAAGTGTGGCACTGAAAAGCAGACGTGAGTTTAATTCCAACTGAAGAGTCGGCTAAGCACATCACCAATCCAGGGCCGATAAGTTCCTTATTTGAGGGAACCCACTTACAGTTGGTCTGTGAAATGACTTCGATAACATCCCCCTCCACCAAGAATGGCAAATTTCCAAAACTGGCTCAGGATTGTAAATGGAGATTTGCATCACCCCTCACTCATTTGATTTGAGTGAGGGATACTTTGCAACACTTGGCTGGCATGTATAAACACACTTGCAATACGCCCTGCAAACAAAACGAACGTTAAAGGTCATCGAAGGATACGGCAGTGAGCCAGAAGTTGGGGATCTTGCGAATGAGCTCGCTCCGCTGCTCCAGGTGTGGCTTACGCAGGCGATTGTACTTCTGCTCCACGCGCAGGATCTCCTCGCTCGCCTGCTCGTTGAGAGCATCGATTTCATTCTGGCAGGCGTCGATCTCCTCCAGAGCCTTTTGCGTTTGACCCTACCGGATGGGGCACAAGGGGCGACCACAGTGGTGAGTGTGGTAGTGTGGTGCTCTTCACATATAGCCTTAAAATGTGGCGTGTCTGTAATTTATCGTTTAACCGTCTAATGCTGTATTTTGTCTCAGCTGTACAGTTTATTTTTCCCTTTTAGAACCGTCTCATTGAACTGTTCTGTCTATTGTGTGTCTTTTGAGCGACCACGTTGTACATATTGTCCCATTTTATCCGTCTCGTTCTCTCTCCAAAACATTAATCGTCTCACTGTGTCACATCAGTCCAGGCTTTAGCACAACATTTGCGTACCAATGATAATGTATTATTCTTGGGAATGTAAATCGATGCATGGGTTAAGAATACATTTTCATCATTGTATTAATGCATTGTTTTGACCCTAACAAAATGGGGATAAGCACCTCCCCAAGAACCTAGTGTAAATTGACATTTTGAGAGAGGCAAATGCTTTGGCAAGTGACACTTCACCTTACCTGTGTGCTGGAAGACATAATGGGTTCTTGAACAGCAAGGACAGGAGTCTGGGTGCTAGGGAGTGTGGTTGGGATGCTGGGTGCAGTACTCTGAGCATCTGCGATTTCACCCTCATTGCTGGTGGCAGAGGTCAGGACCTTATCGGTTGGTCCCTGGAACAGTTAGGAATTGCAATCAGTTCATCAGTCAACAGGTGTTATCAATGTGTATAGCATTTCATCAGATTACATTAACAGCCTCAGCTATTGTTTTAAAATAAACAAAAACTGCTTTACATGCATATCTTTCAACTATGTTAATCTAAAGGATAGACTTGTACTGTTGGGTTCTTTTCTCAAAACTCAGCAATGAAAAATTTGTAATGAGTACACAATAAAAAGTGTTTTGACAAAGACATGTAAGTATTGCCTGTTTAAATAGAGGATATATTTTGACAAGTGATTTATAAGTGCACACAAACGTGCCAAAATATCTAAAATATACTAGGCACATTGCAGATATTTGTAGTGCACTAAACGTTTGGAAGACATAAAAAAATATCTTTAACATACGTACATTTAAAGCATGTTAAAGAATGCTATTTGTGCATTCATAGTCAGAGAGAATAGCATTTTGTTTAGCCTTAAAACAAAAATTTCACATGTTTCTTAATTCAATGTGCATATATGAAACAGCAATTTCAGATTTGATAATAAAATACAAGATGATTAATAATTGGGGTTATCAGTGACCCCCACACTTCACACGGTAAGACCATTTACTCTGCGTTATTGTCACTTGTAGCACACCACAACATTAAACATTTTCCTGGAAAATATGTCACGGCTAATCATCTTCTAGAGCAGACAACTTAAAAAATATAGCCGTACAATTTAACGTACATTGTGAAAAGTAAAATAATACATATCCATAATACATATCTTCCATGCTCACCGCTACCCACCTGACCCCGTCTCATGCCACTCTACTCCCCTCTACACATCCTCTTCTCCGGCTAACACAGCTTTCAGTCAGACAACTCAGCCAACTTTAATTCAGTGGGAGATAGCTCAATTCTCCTGTTGCTCCCATGGTCTGGGACTGTATTCCCGCAGGTGTCCATCATTTTCCACCTTCTGTTCATGTCTCGGCTTAAGACCTTCCTTTTTACCTCTGTCCATGACTGACTGCCTCTATAAAATATATCATTGTTTGGTAGAGTGTCGTGAGGTGTGTACACATTTTGCGGCTATATACATCCAAAGGGAATTTATTTGATTAGGAAAACATAACAAGATTGTCTGCCAACAAATCTAGAATATAATCCACAACATTTATATATATTCCTCCACATTAATGACTGAAAGCCATGAACAGATACGTCGATTACATTGGATTTTTACTTTTTGACCGTTACAAACACCTTGAGTAAATAATGCAGGCTTCCCTAAAATAATTGCAAGACAAAGATAAAATAATCTCTATTGTTTATAACTGCACATACAAACGTCATTTCAATAACATCCGATGTTGTGTGTGATTGACGAATATTTAATTATTCATTTAAGTCAAGATAGGTTACTGATTGAGCCCAGGAGATAACGTTCGAATTTGCCACTGATACATTGCAGATTTAAATCTAAAATAAACAGCAAAAAGGAAAGATACAGCCATTATACAGGTGTACATATATGCACAGAGCAAATTCATATGACAAACATTACAAAGATATTAAAAGGTGCATCTCCAATTTTTTTATTATGTCATTGAAGATCTTGTGCATTAGTGAAAAAGTGTATATCAATAACCCAAACTACAAAAATACAGTTAGTGCAGATGTCAAATTTTCACTGACATTTATATACTGTACTCTATATTTCAGATAATGTGGGTACTTACACAGATACATAATACAAGGATATTAGCAAGAAATGCATCTGCAATTTAATTGCCATTAGTAATACAATTTATTCCAAGTGGCACTGCAATACCATCACATACAATACACCTCCGATTAGCACGGTTGGTTACGCACGGATGTGAAAGAGGTTCAACATACATACATAGACAACACTCTTATATCGCAATAAATAATGCATTGGTGATGAAGGCTTGCCCATGCTGTATGGGGCTGTGGAGGTTACTTGATCATACTGCACCACCATGGTTAGTGCAAGTTGGTGAAAGTGGGGAGCATATATGCACAGTAATACAATGCCTTCTATGGCCTACCACTGAGCCACATAGTACATTTTACTATTTACGATTTGTATAAGCAGCGGGGGGGGGGGCTAGTAAAACTCGAGATTGATGTTAAGCGTGGCTATAAATACAAACTTAAGTTAATATTATAGCACACAAACCACAGTGCTACCATTCCACCACATATTACAATATTATTCTTATGACCTTTGTGTGCTGCGTACACCATGTTCATTTTGCAAAGATTTAAAGTGTGGCTAAATGTTGAAACCATATTTTAATAACACACAAACCAGTTCAGATTAAATCACAACTATATTCAACAGCAAGCCCAAACCAAATTAGAGTGATGAGGCATTTGTATCTGAGAGAAGATTATGAGGGCAACTGATGCACATTGCAGCTCACAACCAGTCTTGACAAACAATGCCAAAAGATGCAGAATTGATTCGTGTGCCAAGTCAAAAGTGTCTCCAGTTGACCAGGTGACTTAGAGGTCAGAACGCTGAGCTGACATCACTGAGACCTTGGATTTGAATGTTGATAGCTGCCTGTAATTAAAATGGGTGTTCAATTGTGCAGGGTATGGTTTGAGGCCAGTTATCAATAACTGAACAAAATAACCCATCACATTAAATTTAAATTTGTTCAAGAAAAATGATCGGCCAAACCGTCACGTGACAAACATTACTCTCTGAAGCAGAGCAGGTGGCTAATTGCTGCACATTGATGGATCAGAAGTCCCGTGAAGAGATCTCCATGGCAGTCTTGTGACATCTCCTTCAACGGGGTTACATTACTTCGTGACATATCCAAATGGATTCATCTCATATGATGCCGAGAGAAAAACATGCCTGTGAAAACCTTATTTTAAAGCGTAATGGAGCCTAACTGATTAATCGAATAGGTGATCACATAATTGTATCAAGAACAAAGTAGAAAAGAGTCCAAATCTATAATTGCTTAAAAAAGTAATGGGGCATAGCAACCATACCACCATAGCCAGTGGTGGACAATCTACATTCCCACAGCAGGGGCCAAAAACAATACAATACAGTACTTGGTTAAAATCAAGTTCATTGGTCGACTCCGGGGTCTGTAGGGTTGATATACCACTTCGTGTGAAGGCCGAAGCTGTCATAAGATAGCGGTTATGACTTTCAAATAACTTTGGCGGATCAAAACGAACACACCTTAGTATTTTCCAAAAATACAAAAGGATTGCATTTACTGGGAATAAAAAAGGACCATATTTACCGCACGTGTTACGATTAGAAAAAAAACTGTCCTGTCACGTCGAAAATATTCCCCTCTAGGAGCCGATTAGTGCCGCTAAGAAACTAGCAGTTCTGGATAAATATCATTTGCTGGGAGTTTTAAAAGTGGTAGGCCTGGTATGGCCGCGGATTGTATGAAATTATGCGGGGGCCTTGGGTCCATACCTCTATCAACATAGCATGTCCGGCCATAGCAATATGGAATTTCCGACCGCCATAGGAATGTGGAATTTCCAAATTATCTCTGGGACGCTGACAGGAATGAGAGCTGCTTTTTTTTCTCCAATCATGGATACTATTTTTATTTTACCAGGTAAGGCCCACTGAGCTATTTTTCAGAAACGACCTGGCTATCACAACTGATAAGCTCACGACGTAGCTTGTGTGTGGAAATTTAAAGCAGCCAAATACTGTAAACGCATGTTTCTAAATGCGCACAAAGGCGGAGAACGCGCAATTTGAAAATATACAGGCGTCATGGGATAGACCCATGCACTCCTGTACACAAGGCGAGGTCATTAACATCTCGAATGTTGACGGATTAATGGAGAGAAAATATCGACACAAGTTAACAACGAAAAATCTTGCTCAAATATGCGCTACAGAAGCGCGGACAAAACGCACGCTTAGAATTGCATCGAAAGACATGAATGGAGACCGCGTGGATTAAAAAAAAACACGCACATGTTGATGACATCCTTCAAACTAATAAGCAACGAGCGTGTGGGCTGACACTATAAGGGGAGAGCGGCTCGAGGATCCGACGGTAAACACACAAAAAATTGAGAACGTCAACCGCGGGAGATGGAGCGATTGAGTAATCTGGCGTGCAGGTACTTGAGGTGGATTGTCAGTAAACGTCGCAGAACTTGCAACGCTTAGCGACGGCTTTTTGAAGTGACGGGGACAGCGGCGGAGGGTGGTGGTGGTGGATGGAGGCCGTCATCCAGCAGTGGAATGATCGTGGCCGATGCTGCTGACGATGAGCGAACAAGGCAAAACCAACGCGTGGTGGTGGTGGGGAAAAAAGGGTAACCCACAGTACTTTTTTTTTACACTTCCCCCAACCCCAACGCAACACACACCGACGCACGGTTCGGAACCAACAAAGGAGGCGGTCGCGGGCCTACACGTGCGAGGAGCGAACCGACATAGCCCCGACTCTTTTACTTCCACGGTGGTGGTGGTGGGGTGTGAGGTGTTTGTCATTTACGGGGTTGAAGATAACGGGGCAGAGATAAATTAGCGAGCTCGACGCCGTCCTCGACTCACGTTGTCTCCCTCGCCTGCTGCTGCTCCTGCTGCTGTTCCCGCCTCCGTCCTGCGCACCTTGGCAGGAGGGCCCTGCTGCATCGCCGCGTCGCTCATCCCTCCCTCTTATAACGATCACCTTCACTTTTTTCTCGTTATTTAAAAAAAACACCCTAACCTCCCTCCCTCCGGACCCCCACACACAACCCGCCCACCCAATGTGTTTTTTTGTTTTTCCCCCCTCTCACACTTATTTAAAAAGGGGGTAAGGGGAATTGTCACGAAAGGGCTTTTTATAAATAATAACGATGTTTAACAACGAGAGCCGCCGAGTTGAGCCAGCGAGGCCTTCATCGGCTCACTGAGGGCGGCCAAACTTTCTTCCTGCTGGCGCGCGCGCGCGTGTGTCGTAACGCCGCTTCCGATTGGTCGAGGCGACGCCGAACCACTAACCCCCTACACCCGACGGACCAATGGGAGGCAGGCGCGCGCGCGCTCTCTCTCTCTCTCTGATGCCTTGGCGCGCTTTTGGCGATGGCCTTTTTGTTTTAAGGGGTTGGTGGTGGTTGTGGTTGTTGTTGTTTCTTCAAATAACGCGGGAAGAATGAGGAGGATAATTAAACGTGTTCGGCTTCACGTTTGTGTGGTACGTTTCGCAGGAGTTTTGCAACAAGATACGCGAGGAGATCGTATAGGGAAGGGAGCGTTGCGTGTTCATTTTATTAGTTTTTTTAAGTTAACCGTAGCCTTGCATTGTGGCCCCATTGGTTCCCATAGTAACAAATGCTCAATATTTATTTGGCATTTTTTTTTAAATTAGTATTTAATTGACCATTATTGAAGGTATATTTGTTATTAAGTCATCCATTCAATGTAATGGTCTCGCTTAATGTTTATTGTGTAAATAATAGTTGAATTTTTACGTATTCTTAGTTCTTTTGGTAAAATCACGTAGATAGAAAACAATAAAAATATTAAAATAAAAATAATAAATTGCAAATAAAGCAAAAAAAACACAATAAAAATAAAATTTGCCAAATAAAAAATTGAAAATAATAAAACCGAATGTTTGACCTAACAAGTGGAATATTTTAAAGTGCACAAAATGTTTTACTTGTTACAAGTACATGTACTACTAATAAATGTGAACTTATATTACTGTATTTTCCCACAAAGAAGCACCCCAAACTGCTGTGGCATCTTCCCGGCATCTGTTTTCTTGAAGTGTCGCAATGTCTCATTGCAAAACGCAGTCCAGCATTGTGTGACATTAGTGGCGTTGCCACTAGTTGTTGCCACTACTTGTTGACAATGTTAAAAATCAGCCTCACTAGACTCGACACTTAACCATATTTCCAGAGTGAGATGAAATCCTGGTGGGGGGGGTCAGCGTTTTCAAAGTTCAAAACCATTGTTGGCTTACCCACAAAGTGGTACCTATTTTATCCACCACCTTGCAGTGTGCTCTCTTCACTCGTCTTGACTGGAAGCGACCCAAGATAGCTTCCATTTTGTCCAAAGTTGGATTCTTGACGGTCTTCCCCCTAACACCTTTAAAAGTGTTCTCTCCATCATCACCCTTGGTCCATGTCTATTCTGGTTCTTTATATTAATCTACCAGCTGTACTACCCCGGCTTCGCCCGGGACTTGGATCCACCACGCCCGGCCGCCTTTGTCTCACCAGTGGCGATGTTCACACACCACAGCAGTTACTCGTTTTGAGGCTGAGTCGACCTAGGGGAGGCCCAGAAGCTGTTGAAATAATCGTCACCGGTGGTGGCCGTGAGCGGGAATCGAACTCGGGTCGCCGGGTTCGTAGTGCGGCGTAGCGCTAACCACTACACTACAATGCGTTACGCTTCCACACAGACACACATACACACATACAGACACACAGACACACATACACAGATACATACACACAGGCAGACACACACACAGACATACACACACACAGACAGACACAGACACATACACAGCGCGCTAACCACTACGCTACAATGCGTTACGCTTCCACGTGCGCGGATCACGTGACAGATTTGACGTCACAGCTCACTTGTGCAAAAAATAAATGCATTATTGAGCACCCCCCCCCCCCCCCCCAAAAAAAAGTGTATTTTTATAATTTTTGCATGGTGTACAGTCTGGAAAGTAACCACATGGCAAATTTGCAGTTTGTTGCATGTCGGGAAGTATGCTTAACATTTTGAACAGATAGACATATTCACAACTTTGCCTTTTATATATATGGAGATGACCGTCTTATTATGTAGAAATCAGCAAAGTATATATCTGTGGATATATCATGTGTAACGGCCAAACCCGTGGGTGGGATGAGACCATTTTATGGACAAAATATATTTAGGCAAATCTATATTTACGTGCAACCATTCCGAACATTAACAAAAAAATGGAAATTACAGTAACTGGTTTTCCAATTCAAACTATCACCGCTAACGCTTCTTGTAACAACAAAAAGTTTTCCATTTTCATTTACTGCACCCTTTGCATTTACAAGGTTCCACATGAAATTTGGGAATGTTGGTAGTGGAGTGGGATACGTATGTACAACTTCTTTTGCACCGTACGTATCCAACCATGCTAATCGGAGGCACGGGGGTGAAAGACAGCAAACTTAATTTTTTAAGCATTTTTAAACATAAATTTTCCAAGCAGGATTAAGTCTGGGTAGTCTTTGGATTGGTAATCACCATGCCCAATAGGTTCTCATGGAGCAGTGGGGGTTACATGGACAGTTAAAACTCACACTGACCAGCGTGGTGAAGTATGCCCAAATAACCCCAATGACCAGTAGAGCACGGGGAGGCTGTCATCCAGCAGATGATTGCCAAAATGGATTTACACTAATTTTCTAAACCACATATGTATAAAAGATGACTCCAAACGAATATGCGGTGCTTCGTGTTATCCTATGGTCTTAAATAGTTACTGCTCTATTTTAATGTGAAAGTATGTTTTCCCCCTTCCTAATGTGTCGCTGTCCGAATCGTTTTCGGGGCTGTGCCACTGCACGTTGGTCGGTGCGATGTCCGACGTTTCGCCCCACGTGCTTGGGAGCTTCTTCTGGAACTTTATTTAGTTCAGGAGCGGTCTTCAGTTCCTAAAGATGCAAACATGTCGAGCGAAACTTCGGAAATTCCGAAACACGAAATATAATTCCGAAAATACAGCCAATTTCTTCTCTGTAGGTAAGGTACATAGCGTATACACCTGCAAACATTCTGTACTACGTGTACATTGATACATTGTGAATTGTGCATTGTAATGTTGTACCAATAAACCGTGGGTCTCCACTCGATCTTGCAACAGCAAATTACACGCAAACACTGGGACGATTTGACATTTTGTACAATTCATTTTTGGTGTACACAGAAAGATATACACATACACTTTGAAATCGCCACAATTAACGTACACATGCAAAGCTTGACTACAATACAGTATATTATTGTCATGTATGTACACTATATTCATATGCATTTGTCCAGGACACTGGTTAAAATACACTTTAAAAACGGAAATAATCTGTCTTATTTAAAAGTGTGCTGGGCAAGATTCAAACGTCAGATTATTACAGCATATAAAACACTTACCAGTGCTACGTTTGTAACAGTACCCTTTTGCTTACCAGCAGCAGAAATATAATACTCGGCATTGGTAGGAGACAGTCATCTCTGCTGTCCACCATCTTCAGGAAGATGGTCAGTTAGGGGGTTTGTCACATTAAGTCTCTACCGCGATTTAAAATTGGGAAATATCTTGCCCTCCTTGACAATACAGTGTGCAACGCTTCTCACCGGACAAATGATTTCAGTTGTCACTGGTGAGTCCACTGATAACATTGGTTTCATGCGACTCAGCCGAATTTAAATCCTTAAGAGTGGCCTACATTGATTGACTCCAAAATTGTGCAAAAAAACTCCCCCAGTAAGTATTGCCAGTTGTAAACCTACAGCAGGAGCAATGCCCTGTCCTCTTGTATAACCAGACACTGAATTATGCCACGCTATGCCGCGAGGGCCTCTTCCAGGGTCAACTCAACCATGAATTATTTACCCAGAGATTAACCTCCTCATTGACCAATCCTGAACTTGGGGCCTGATGAAGCTCTAACAAAGCACAATCAACCCTTAAAGGAACACCTGACCAGGGAAACATGACAAGGTGTTCAATTATTCAACCGACGAGGCAACGACCACACAGTCCGCTTCATTTACCGCACCAAGGAGCAGGTGTTGTAAAGTAAAACGTGAAAGGTGAACAGAGGGACAAGCCACGTGTAGGGTTAGGTTTGGGATCACAGTCAGGGGTAGAGGGGCCAGTGCTACGAGTTGGTTGGCTAGTGGCCAGTCTGCTCTGCCCCAACAAATGTGGCCTTTTTCACTTTCTACCGTGTATGTTTTCAAGGTTGAGCCATATTTTCTCCTGTGATGTTTGCGGGCTGAAGCTTCTTCAGGAATCCGATTAAGCTGCCGGCACGTGGAGCGTAACATCAGGCCTCGTGCCAAAACAACACGCGGCACAACTTTAAAAGAGATCGGACAGAAACCCAAACTTTTTTTTGTCCCTTTTCATTTTTAATGTTTGCAGCGCCCCTAGTGGTCCTTCTCCATAACCAAATCCACCGAAAGGCCATCACATTGACACTGCCATCATAGCAGACGACAGACTGTTTAAATTGTGCGCAGATTATTCATGGGACACTTGCAACCTGCACTGGCCCACATTTATAGTGCGCACACGAGGATCATGAAAAAAAACCCATGTAAATGGAACAGGGTAGTTTCTGATGCTCAATATTGAGTACATTCTCCAGACAATACACACCGCACAGAGGCTTTCCCACTGACGTTTCACAGGAACCACTTAGAAAACTCACGCCAAGCCTTTTAGGAGGTTAGGGGACCATGGCACTTTGCGTGCGGGCGTTAAAACACAGCGAGCACATATTTCAACTGCGAGCTAGAGGGATTAAGCGTGGCTACTCGCACCTCTTCCAAGACGTGTGGCCAGTGTGGAAGAGTAGGCCAAAATTCCCGCTAGATGGGCTCTCTAGAGCTCCCTCTACTGGAGGCCATTGTGCCAGTAGTGGCGTGAGCAAGACAATTTAGGGCTGGCGCTTTTACTTTGAGCTCGTGTGCACGCGCACACTTTTTCTCATTACAACTGACCAATACCCTAACATCATGCGCGCGCGTGTAAAGCACTAACAAATTTGGCTACATCCCTGACAATTTGTTTAAATATTGAATGTGGTTATTTTACTTGGTAGGTTCAAATAAAGGGTTGTTAAATACACGTCATGTAATTGGTTATATTATAAGCCAAATCTGTAAATGACACAAAAAAATCACAAAAGAAAAATTAATGCAGGCTATAAGCTAGCATATTTAACAACATACAAAGGTGTGCAGCATTGCATGACCAAAACGCTCTTTACAGGCTTATCCAGACGACCAGCTCAACTGTTTTAGTTGGTGGTCGAAATACCAAAATGGCCACACATTGAGTTATTTTGAGGTGGTGGTCTGTGGAAGCAGTGTTGGAAAATGAAACTAAAAACCTCAGGCATTGACATGCAGGGCCACCTAGGGCAGGAGAGTGGGCAATTTGCCCTGGGGTGCCACAGTGACAAGATGTCAACTCCATCGCCGGGTACGCAGGAGGTTGTGGGTTTGATTTTTCTCCAGGTCCTCCGGTTTATTTTATTCCTCCATATTTAGAAACATGCGGTTTTGAGCATTTGGTTGCTATAAATTCGCACTCAATAAGCCACTTCGTTGAGCTAGCATTTGTGGCTAGGTCGCTTCTGAAAAACAGCTCTACAGGATTAGTGGGCTTTACCTGGTAACAAAATTGTTTTTGTTTACTCACAAGAGGCCTGTTTTTCTTTGTCACTAATGAATAGGAGCGTCATTTCCCTGGCCTCCAATCCTGGCACCCAGAAAGCTCTGGGCAGCACCGTTTGCATTCACACTTTTTTTTTACAAGACAGTCCCATCTGTCGTGTGCTTACCATTGTCATTATTTAGACCTAATTCATGTATAGGTTAAGTATAGGTCCAACATCCCTACTTCTTCCATAGATTAAGGAGCAGCAGTTCTTTATTGCCCCGGTATTACAAGTCGGCACATGACGTATATTCATATGTAAACTTTGGCATAAGATTGTATGTATATCATGAACACGTACAGCTTAATAGGCTTAAATCTGTGTACAAGACTACATGCTAAGGAATAGACAAAAATGGATTGAGAATGGGATAACATTAAAATATCTATTGGGATTACTTAACATAAACCAATACAAGTCGGTGCATACAATGTGTATGCAAATTATTAAACTTTTGAATGCCTTGTGAAAACAATTTTATATTCAAATGTAACTTTCCACTTTTTTGGAATATTTGAATTTATTATATTGTTCGTGGTAATACTCAACACTTCTGGACACTATCTTTCCTTTGTCTACGTAGCATCAACTGTGATTCTGAAAGATCTATACTGCAATGTGCAATGACACAGCAATCACGGTTAGTATTGGGAAGCAGGTCAGTGTTTTGCCACGTACCACAGAGAAGTAAGATTATAAATTGGCCGACTTGGGGCAATGAGAGATAAAGATTTCATATTGAGCGAGTACGTGTGAATGTATGCACTAAACATCTTCTGTTCAAGCTCATAGCATCAGTAATACTTAAAGTGGTCACACTTAATGAATAACCGGGTTCATTTCAAAACATCCACACCTATGAACATGTAGAGGCAAAGATTAGCAGACAGGCGGGCACAAGCGACACTGAACGATATTATTACCGTATTGTCCGGAATATAAGATACTTAACTGCCCCCATATTTTCAATCAAATGTTGTGGGATGCATAATTTTGATAATCGGGTCGGCGTGTGTGTGCGAGATCAGATTTGTATCACTCTACTGGATTCACACTGGGTGCAAGTTTGGGGTGAGTCTTACTTTTTAGAGCATCTTATAATCTGGAGAATATGGTAATACTGATTATTCCCAAAAAAACTAATTATCCTTGCCAAGATCAACAAATATAATGCACATACCCCTCATTTATTACAATGATAAATGCATACAAAATATAATTGACAGCCCTTCGTCAATCCACTGCTGGATGTCCGTCATGAGTGACCATTCATAAGACAAGGATCAACCACTGGTCATTACCCACGAACTAGTTTGCCATTAACACGGTTCTAAACGGTAAACATTTGAGCTGTGTGAAACCGCTAATTGGGAGGGAAATGTTTTTGTTCTGTCAATTGCAGTCAAATATCAATTCCTTAGAAAATCTGCAGCAACTCGAAAAATCTGAGCAACACTTGCGATGAATAGTAATAGTTTAAAAAAAACCCATGCCCCAGAGTTGAAGGAACAAGAACGAACTGCCGTGTCACTTACAGCTCTCCCACGCAGACATGGCAGAACTTTTGTGCAGGTGAAAATGAATTAATCACTAATGCCAGCTTTTTCAAAGTTTCTATTGACACAAGATTTGAAACTCGTCCGGTGCCGCACAAATGCAATATGGTGCTCTGGAAGCAAATATTTGTTGTTGTTGCAATGTGTTTATCCGTGAAACTCCACAATAGCCACTGGGGACTGCATGTTTGGCCGGGAGATGGCAGTATGGCAAGTGAGTTCATGAACCGGTCTCCGTGGACCTAGGGAGTGTTATCAATTCGTTTGTACTGTGGGTTTTATCTAAAGTACAGGCGAGTTATTTTGGGGGTAGATTTCCACTTGGCCCAAACCCGGGCAGGAGCCCAAAGTATTTCAATGGTTCCTAGGAAGAAAGGTTGGGACTTATCTACACTGCCAGTCCTGAGCTAACAACTGAATAGGGCAAACCAATGTTGACTTTCCACAAAGTGGTACACTTTTGCCTTCAGAAGGATCATGCTTCGAGTAGGACCCCCCCCCCCCCCATGGCATTTGAGCTCACAACCTTCCTAATGTGAACAGAGTGGCGCTTGAGCGCAGCTCCACCCGTGTGTTAGTACAAGGCGATCCGTTTATAGAAACCCCACTAATGTATGAAGACCCGTCGTCTCGTGCAGTCCGTGATCGGTGACAAGAGACATCTGCGTGTTACATTGGCCGAGGAACAAGAATTGCGTAGCGCCCCGCGTTTGACATTAAACACCTACTGGATTTTGTTCCCGTGAAGCGACATCAAAGACAGTGTGCGTGCGCGCGTGGGAAAACCGCGATGACATATCAACTACCTCATTCTAAATTGAAAACGAATTTCTTTTCAAGTTATTTTCTGTTTAGTTTGTTGTCTTTTCCCCGCACCTCCGATTAGCATGATTTTCTATGTACGGCACAAAAGTAGTTTAACATACATACGTACGTCAGCTCACGCGTAATTTAATGTTTGAACCATTCAGACTGGCCACCTTTGACAGAGCGTTCGGGAGAGTTTTAAACAATTTCATTATTGCATTTAGATTGGTCTAAAAGCTTTGGTTACCTCACTCTGACTTGAGTGGGGCATCAATGCAGTTCAGAGTTGCATGACATACACATTAAAATGTTCTCAATTAGTCTGCCACTCAAGCACACTTGCGTGTTCACGATTGTGAAAAATGATATGCACTTGGCAAGATGAGCAAATATAAACATATATAAAAACAAAGTATGTTTCTCTAATTTTCAGATTGGTCCGAATTATCCGAAAATCAGGCCTAGATACACTTGTTGGATATTGGTTCGAATTGTATTTTTCTCTACGATCCGAAAGTATGTCATCACAGGAAAGGATGTCACTGTTCTTATGCCACATCTGTGCTTTTTTTCCCCACCACGTGGTATCGTAGCATCGGGTGACATCAATTTTGTTCGCAAAAAAATGGCGCGGTTCATTATTACCTCATTTAAATCAATCCGAGAATATGTGGCCCACAAACAATTTGACATCTCATCAGTCGGGTTTCAATTAATAGGATGAAAACTTTTTGTTTTCAAGTTTAGCAGACACACACACACTCACAGTGGTTGCCATTTTTAGAAGCACACAAAATACTTTCAGTGGTATTGGTGTCCGCAAGGCTGAAGATCTGAAAGCCACGCGCTTGAAAAATGGATAATCAGGAATCGGCTATGACTCGAAAAACACACTTGGGACTTAATTCACGTTTTGGTGGAAAGGCAGTTTCTGCTGATGATTCGTGGGCAAAGAATGGCTAATATTCTGCAATTTTAGAAAGAAAAAAAAATCTGAAATCTGGTGCCATTTGCTTCTTCGTTCACCTACGAACCAAACCAGTGGTTTTTACTTTGACGTGAAATTCAATCATGTTGATTGTAACAATATTCCCAGTACAAAAATACAATGTAAAAAAAAATAATTGTTTTACGATGGTTTACAGTACAAAGGTGAACTCGTGGCTATAAACGGAAATAATATTTGTGAATGCGTGCAAGGAATGTTTCCGTATACTTAAAATAAATACAAAAAACTAAAAGTTTAAGCAAATTACAGTAGTGAACGGTGCACACGAAACATTCCCAAAGATTACATAATCAGACCGAGGCAGTCTGTAAGCTGCATTAGAATCATACAATCCATTAAGTGGCAGAATTAAATGCTATCATATAATTATTTCAGAAGACAATCGAAAAAATAATAGTAAAATTTATATATGTTTAAAAGGCCCGTGGCTAAATGTAGATAAATGCCAGTGTTACGTTGAATGTGGCTTGCCCATGTGATAGACCACTCGCCCTGATAGTCTACAGAGCTATTTTTGGATATATCACAGTGACTTTGTGAGTTTCTCCCCATTCCTAAAACTTTGCAAGCCTCTTCCCGCAGGGAGGGCGCTTTGCATGCATGCCTTAGCATTCTCAAGTCGTGCTGTGCACCGCTCGGATGCCCGAGAACATTATTATCCCTCCGCCACAACCGCCGATCGGACCCTGTGGCCCAATTCGGTGAGAACTGGCTTAGACATTCGCATTGACGCTTCTTGGCACGTGCTCGCACGAACCGCAATCGTTCGGGATAGTTTTCCCGCTTGAAAGCAACGCGAGAGTGATTACACACGCAACGACGACGACGGGCCCGCCCCCCCCCCCCCCCCCCCCGTTTGGTCTGCCGTTGTTTCATGCCGGCAAAACTGCACCAGACGCGAGGAGTGACCGTGCGGGTTTCGAGAATTTAGTAAAAAAAAATCGGAGCGTCGCCGTTTTGCACGAACGCAAACAACAAAAATAATAATCCGAGCGCCCAGCGTGCGCGGTGCCCTCATCGCACGGCTGCTAACGGGCGTCACCCGGCACATTGTCGGGGTCCCCCCACCTCCGAGCAAGGCGACGGAGTGCTCCAGCTGCAGCACGACGCGTAGTTGCGGTTCTGACTCTGTTAAAGTTCGCGTGTGAAGATTGCGCAACAGGAGCGGACCGGGGCTCGCCGACGAAAGCAAAAATCGGCCAGCCGGCCGAGGGATTTCATTTGCCGCGAGCTTCATCAAGGGGCGGACAACGTGAAACGAGGAGGCGCGCGCCGAATCATCGCGGCGGCTATGCAGCGGCTATGCAGCGGCTACAGGGATGATGATAATAATAACAATGGGTGTCACGGTACTTCACATGGAGGGAGAGCGGGTGGCCGTGGCGGTCACGTAAAGAGGTAGCAGCGCATGATGCATGGCGGGGATGCTTGCAGGTTACAAGAGAAAGCGAGCCCGTACCACTTCGTTTGTTGAGGGGCTCGCACAGTCTGGTGGGGTGGGGCACTTCATTTGTCGGAGGGCAGGCAAGGAAAGCTCGTGCACACCAGCACAGGGGGTTACTCATTACGTCCAGCATCGGTTACAACTTGTAACTCTTTTCCACTGGCACAACAGAGCCGTGCCGGGGCCATGCCGAGCCAGCCCGGCGGCGGCTCAGGAGGCGACGGGTTATTTTTCCACTGCAGAAGCCGAGCCGAGCCACCGATGTCACAACCACAATGGACGAGTCGAGGTGTACGCAGATGGACATGGCGATGCCGTGTTCTCGGCGTAGCGACCGACATGACACAACGAAAGTGTAATTAGCCCCACCCCTGGTCCTGCTTGGGCCCAAGGCCGATTCGGATGTCTCTCTAGAGACCATCGTACCACAGTTTGGTTCTGGCTCGGCGCAGCAAATAGCCAGTGGAAAACCACCTGTTACTGTGAGGGCCGCGTGCTGGCTTCGCTCAGGTGTGCCAGTGGAAAAGGGGGTATATCAGAGGCTGTGTTAGCTCAGGAGGCCAGAGTTGTCCGGGTCCGTATCCTGGCGTCACCGCCGCGGTGGCCGGCTACTTGACAACGGCAACTCTGCTCGGTGCCGGCACCCTCCAGGGTCCCGGGGGTCCCGTGCTGGCGCGGGGCAGCGAGTCCGCCCGCCGTCGCCGCCGGGACACGAGCTCTCCGGGGGGTGCGCTCGGGGTCGAGGGCTGGGCTCGGACGGAGCCGGCTCGGCCGCCGCGCGACTCCGTCGTCATTCCCAGGCCCAGGCGATCGCGCCGGTCGAACGGGGAGGGGAGGAGGCACAAGCCCCTGTCCCACGTTCTCGGCGCTCCCTCGGAGGCATCTGCGGCAGAATCAGCAAAGATGTGGCCGAATAAACTAAACAGAAACTCAAATATTTTTTTATTTTACCAGGTAAGGCCCACTGAGCTATATGGCTCTTTTTCAGAAGTGACCTGGCCACAAATGATAGCTCAAAAAAGTGGCTTACACATGTGGATATTTAGCGCAGCCAAATACTCTAAACGAGTGTTGATTCTAAATGTGGAGGGGAACCAAATCCACACAACCACAAGAAGGGAGACAAGCAAACTCCAAATATACAGGCTTAGGATCAGGATCGAACCCACGACCTCTTGCATACCAGACGAGCTAGTTAACAATTCGCAATACTCATTCTGCCATGACAGATTATTTTAGAGACGTGATGGTCAGCACGATGGCCGAGGGCTCATAGGGAGTGTTTCCCCCCCCCAACCCCTGTCAGGGGTGGCCACCATCTTTAAAGGGGCTCAAGTAATCGACAACAGAGTAGCCCATGTTCTTAGCTCTTTCGGTAAAGTCACGTTGAAGGGAAACAACAAAATAATAAAGTAAAGTGATGGTTTTGAAAGGCTCCTCAAGAGGGTCTTTCTTCATGGTTTGAGTGAAGAAAGACCCTCTTGAGGAGCCTTTCAAAACCATCACTTTACCCTACATTGCGGGGATCACAAAAAAGATCTCCAAAATCTTGAACAAACACAAGATCCAGGTCCGTTTCAACACATTACATAAAATCAGTGATCTGGTTCCGTCTGTAAAAGATGTGATTCCGGACATACAGTACCCTGGTGTCTACAAACTAAGTTGCCTCTGTGGTAGTAGTTACATTGGAGAAACCAAACGCCATGTCTCGGATCGCATTCGTGAACACAAAGCAGACCTTAAACACGGTAGGACCAACACCTCAGCCGTGGCAGATCACTGTTATAATTCAGTAGGCTCACATGACATTGACTTCTCCAAGACAGAGGTTCTTTGCAAGCCATCTGGCTACCATGAAAGATTCGTTCATGAGGCTATCCACATATACAAGCACAGAGACAATTTCAACCGAGAAGATGGATTCTGGCTTAGCAATCATTGGAAAGATTTGATAAACCATTTCAGGTCTTAATTGATTGTTCACGCTTACGGTGGCTTTCAGACAGCATGCATTAATTTTTCGTCTCCCCCCTCCTCTTTTCAGAACATAGATGCACTCGTCCTTCTAAATAAACTGCCAAATCGCTGCGCGTGGCACTGACGTTTTTTATAAATAAATGCACCGTTTAAAAATAAATAAGTTTATGCAAACCAACACACCTGATGACGACCGTTTGTGTTATGGTCGAAACGTTGTGAGAATTTTTATTGTTTTATATATATTTTATTATTTTGTTGTTTCCCTTCAACGTGACTTTACCGAAAGAGCTAAGAATATGAATTACAGAGTAGCCGATTACATTTTTTGTTTGTCCATCGCTCGACCTATTGGATAATTGGTGCCAGCTATAGACAACACAGCGTATGATGACAGCAACACTCGGCAGATAACGATGGCTCGTCGATTGAAGCAGACTCTGTAAAGCTTGCAAAATCAAATCCATTAAATACTTGAAAAATGCGAGATATATAAAACTCGTGGCCGATAGTGAGCGATGCTTGTTTTCTATCGGCTTTAGTGTCAGGCACCAACAATCAATGAAAATAGGTTTATCGAGAATGCAGGACTTGTGTGTTTTTTGCATGAGACTTAAAGCAACGAAGAATTTAAGGTTGAGTAAAAGCAATCGACCTCCGGGCTGTAAATTCTTCAGGGCATCGAACTTTCACGTATTGTTTTTTTTTTCTTCAGATTTTTATAATGCTCAGGTTTAAAACAGCCGTGCTACCATTTCAGCTTGCGAGCCCTTCCTGTGACAGCGTTAGAATTGACATCGGTCACTCACGCACTCGGCGCGAACAACGACCGCCTTGCGCTGTAAGCGATATCGATCACCGACGGCAGCAACTACTCGCTGGAATAATGCATTTAGAACACGGCAGCGCGCGTGGCTTCTGTGCCGGCCGCGCTTGTTTACAAGTTTGTAGCAAGCAATACATCAGCGGAGTGCCATTTAATTTAACTTTCAACTCCCGCCTCCCTTGCGAGCTTGGGTTTTCACTCCGGGAGCGAGGGAGAAAGCCAAGTGGAAGCGGTTAAAAACTTTCGCCTCCTATGTCGCTGCGCTGAACGCGGCACCGTCGAATTTTCCATAACACGCCAAGCCATAGGCTAACCCCCCCCCCCCCCCCCCACCACCCCCCCCCAACTGCTGGCAGTGCCAGCTAATTGCAACTAAACAATGTAATTTCTCGGAGTGGTCCTTAACGTCACGTTCGGTCGGAAAACGATTTTGATTTTTGGCCAGAACCAGCGTGACGGCAGAGGCGGGCGCATCGCAAAGGGACGTCTCCTAAGCACAACGGGTCGGAGAATGCGGCAGGCCCGGAAGCCACCGTGAACAAACAAGTTGTGCTGCCGCAGCTGTGTAATTGTGTGCGTGTGCGTGCGCTCGCGTCATCCTATTTGTGGATTTTCGCAAGCATCCTTCAAGGGATGTCTCTCCCGTTGAAAATTGGTGTCAAAAGGCCGCCTCCACGCACGAGCGAAGGAGGTGGCTGTAAATCCTCCTGAATGTCCCCAAAAAGGCGGCACCACGCTGTCTCGAACTAATCGTGCGGGTGGCAAACCAATCATTGCACGCGCAGTGCATCACACGCCTGCCAAAATCCATGGTCAAGATTCAATGCAAACGTTATTCCTTTTTCCATCTGGTTCCGACCGTGTTTTTGGCAAAGTAGCTCTCTTTTGTTCAGTCTCGTTTGTTCCGTCTCATTTGTTCCATAAGCCTAAAAGGTAATGTATGCCCAATAATCATCTTCAGCCATGATAAATCCACTGCTGGATGAAGGCCTTCACATGCCATCGCGATCCAGCATGATCCCGTGATACCACAGTCCATTTCCACCCATGCTCGTGATTTCTGTCTCTACGACATGTCTGTATATATTCTGAACTTCTTTCGCACCGTACGTAGCCAACTGTGCTAATAGGAGGTACTATCGGATGTGTTCTCTGCTTTCGCTGCCATTCCCTTACCAGCCTCATCCAACGGTCATCATCTGCTCCAGCAGTGTACTGCGCAAGGCCAGTTGCCACTAATTTTCTTTAACAGCCATCATCATGAGTATGATGCCTAAATCGTGTCCCCCTTCCCCCGGAAACCACGCGTTCCACTGTCTGTATCGGATTTGCAAACTTTCATTATTAAGCAAGTGGGTATGTTGCGTATCATGATAGAAAACAAAATCAGCTCTCCAGAGTGCTCCATCCTGCTCTTGTTCGCCTCCGTTTGATCATTTTGATCTCAAGTCGCCTTCGAAAGTTTCCCTAGGAATATATATTTTTTTAAATTCCAACTGTGTTCATCGGAAAAAAAAATAAACATCGCAGCTCACTTGCTGTTACACGACTTTTGCTTTGCTCGCATTTGTCTTGTGCAGCCACCACTATAAACCCCTTCAATCGTTCCCTGTAGTTCATTCAAAGGGTGAACAGATACAGCTGCAGCCCTGCAACTGCTCACCCACATCGCTGCTGGCCGAAAGGGCTCCCACTCGAGGGAGCACCAGAGGGGGCGCGCCCCCTCTCCGTCACAGGGTTATTTTAGCCTACTCTTCCACGCAGGCCAGACATCTCGGTAGAGGTGGGAGTACCTCACACTTTCCTCTACCACGGGCGCCGATCGACTGTGGTGAGCCCATTCATACCGCTGTTTGTGGCGGTGGTAGCGGAGGAGGGTGCGATTTAGAAAACTTTCACCGTTGATGTTTCAACTGCGGCACCGGGAGGTGGCATCCAACCGGCAACCTCTGGATTTCAGGTGCAGTTGTGCGGACCGTTGCACTGCTGTGGCAGCATCCGACCTTTTGACGCCATCGCTCGGGTCAAATTGAAAAGTGAAGCCAGATTGCACGTTGGGAAAAGTCAGCATTGGTTCCGAGTAACACGCAAAACAGAAGCAGGGAGGTTAGAACAAAACACAATAGAAAGGCTTGATGTTTTACCTTTCACTAGCGATGTCACATTCCTAAAAGGTTTCCTGAAAACAAGAAGAGAATTGTTAGTTTTAGGTGAGGAAATTGAAACCATGCGAGTGTCATTAATCCGCGGGGCCACCGTGACTTCAACGATGCACCAAAAACGTATTTATTCATGCATTAAAGACGCAGCCCAAGAAAACTATTGCTGCAGTTACGTTCGTTGATTTGGTAATACCACAAATAAATATTGCCTCCTACTGGTAGACTATACTCGTCTGTGAAATGTAGGGCCTTTGCCATAGTCTTGCGTGATGTCAATGGTGCAAACACCAAATATTACGATTGTGGCCTAAGGTTTTGTGTGTCCTGGAAATTTCCATCGAACAGTTTTTGGGGTTGTCCCCCTTTCTCATAAAACAGAAATAATAATTGTTGTTGTTTATTTATTAGCATATTAATATACTCAAGTTGTAGATTTTTGTTTTACAAAGTTATTTTTTTTCCCTCTACATTTATTTTGGAGATAAAATGAAAAACCTGACACTGAACAATACTTCCCTCTGATCAGGTCCTGATTTTCAAGCCCAATCATCCACGACCACCCTACGTTTGCTCTGCATTAATATTCTTGACGTGCGAGTACTCCGCGTCTAAAACATCAGGGATAATTACAGTTCGTACTGCATCTCAAACTAAAGTAAATATTTCGTTAATGTCTGTTCTTGGCTGAAACATTAAAACATTCATTTTTAAATCCAATGCTTAACTTCAGCCAGAAACAGTTTTGGTTGGCATGCCACATCCATCTTGCCATTAACATAGGATTATTATATGGATAGGTATACCTTATACTCTGGTGGTAGTGCCTTACGGCAATAATCCATACCCCATGCTAGCCTTCCAGTGCGTTCTGGAATAAATAGCATGATAAATTTAGCTCGGATTAAAGCGGACGGTTCAGCAGACGCGTTTAACTTGAGGCCACCACAGTTAAAATGAACAGCAAACGGACGTGTGCGGTGAATTAGCGTTTAGCATCTTGGAGAGGCATCTGCGTGATAAAGCAGTCACGAATAGAGTGGTGAAAACGTGAGATTTGAGCAAAAGTGCTGCGAAATAAAGTCACTGACCAAGGAGCACGCTTATAATTCGGCGAATATGGCAACATTTATTATTCCAGCAAATGATCCCCACTGAAGATCAGAAAATACGCACTTCTTTAAATTATAAATTCAAATAAAAATAAATAGCTCACACCCCTTCGTGAATCCACTGCTGGATGCAGGCTGCCCCATGCCATATCGGTCATAGATGTTGATTGACCATACTGCACCACACCGTGTCAGTGGGAGTTGGTAACTGTGATGTTGGTTTTATATAGTATTCGCCATTGATGTTATCCGTGACCAGGAAATCGAACTCGGGTTCACTGGGTTCATATTGCAGAACATTAACCACTTATGCCATCACACGCAAGCGGAGTGATTACTCCTGCTTACAACTGGAAACCCGGCGATTTTACATTGGGCAGCTCCAATTAGCCTTCAGGAAATAGCCAAGCAAGCAATGTCAGTGCCGACAGTTTTAAAATCGACAGGTTATTGGGATGAGGGTAAACAAATCATCGTCAGCAGTAGAGTAGAACAGGACAGTGTAAGGAGAGAACAGGAGGAGGAGTTACTGCAGGGAGGGGACATGAAACATTCAAGACTTACCAGGCGTCTGTTTCGCCACACATAAATAAAAACTATACTTTGGTCCAATAGCCTATAGCGGCCTTCTCGGGCAATGTTTTTCAAAAGCATTCGACCTGTACGGAGTCAACCGTGCTAACCCCCGATTAGCACGGTTGGCTATGTACGGTGTGAAAAAAAGTTCAACATTCATGTATAAATAGGCTGAAGGACAAAAAGGCTAGGTTATTTATATATAGCACAACAGAACTTTGTTTTTTTATTACATTTATTATTGCAATACAACGTGTTTACATAAACGGCCGCTTTGTCAATCCACTGCTGGACGAGGGCCTTGCCACACTGTGCGGGTCATTAGACCATACTTCACCACGCTGGTTGAGTTGGTGGGAGTTGTTGAAGACTGGGCAGCATAGAGGCGGAGGCATAGAAGTAACGCGCAACGATGTGTTTTGCTGCACTGCCCACAATGTAGCCCCCCCATAACAATCCACCATCGTAACGCATCTTTGTATAAAAATGTCTTATTTGTTCTGAAAATTTCTATGTTCAATGGAGCGGAGGCACAGACTAATATCATAACACAATGGTACGCGTGTTCATATCATTCCGTCCATAAAGTAACGGAACGTCTGAGAGCGGAGGTTTGTTTTTTTAGCCTAGGGGACCCACTAATGGCAGGCAGCCTTGTCCCTGTGCGGCACAAGACGATTTACACACCAGCCTGCAAAAGTGCTTGCCAGCAGGGAGTGGCGATTGCTGTGCGTTGATTGCGATAGTCATTTTTTTACATGGCATCGGCGGCAAGGGTGGGAAAACAATTTGGCAAAGGCAAGCGCCCCACGCGACCCTCACCGCAGTCTGGCACTTGGCCCGTGCCACGCTTCAGCAGGAGCCGTGCCCTTCGGCCCCCGCTCTTGATGAGCTCGATGGCGCGAGCGTGCATCATGTCGCGCGTGCTCTCCCCGTTGATCTCCATGATCTGGTCTCCCACCTATGGTCGCGCACGCACACACGCACGCGCACACGCGCGCGCAAGACAACGATCCCAATCTATAGCCTTAAACGCAATTTTACCAACGCTATATTCAGTTCAAGTTTCCGGCACTTGCGCCCGTCGTGGTCCGAGCATGGAGCCGGCACCACTTTTGCCCGCTGGCTGCAAAAACGCGGGCTTTACCCTCATGCGGCTCTGCCTGATGGCAGGGCCCTCTTCGGCCACGCGCAGGATGAACAGGTCCATGCTGTACTCCTTCCCGCCGCGGATGCTGAAGCCAAATCCTGTGTTGCCTCTCTCCAGCTCTGCCACGAAGTACTCGCCGTCCTGCGAGCAAAGATAAAGATTGAGGCGCCGCAGTGGCGGGATGTTTACTACCTCGCCTGGTATACAGAAGGTCGTGGGTTCGATCCCTACCCCGACATCTGCGACTGCATATTTGGAGTTTGCATGTTTTCTGCGATGTCGCGTGGATTATTCTCTGGGTCTTCCGATTTTTCCCTCCACATTTAGAATCCACACGCTTTTTAGAGTATGTGGCTGCAATACATTTCCACGTGATGAGCCACTTTGTTGTGCTATGATTTGCGGCCAGGTCGCGTCTGAAAAAGAGCTATATATTTCAGTGGGCCTTATCTGGTGAAATACAAATAGGTTATTTTTGTTTCCCGCCCCCCCCCCCCCCCGTGTAGCCTCTGTGGAATGTTCGGGGCAAGTGCTGTTAGCAAGCACTGATGATGAGTTGGGCAGTGTCGCCAGGGTGACATCTGGCTTAAAACAAACAAAAAACACATGACAGTAATGTATCAATGCGTCCATAATCAAATTAAATAATGTTGAAGGATCAAGGGATGCGACCGAAGGAATGAATGTCAGTACCGAGGTAGATGTGATTGATGGAAGTCTAGTGTCCTGTCTTGGCCGGGTTTCCGATCTGTAATTTCCACACGGAGATGCATTTGTCAAAATGCATAAGCGCGCACACACACACAAACAGCTACATATATACACACACACACGAAACAATATATATGTATTCTTGGTTCTTTCGGCAAAGTCACGTAGAAGGGAAACAATAAAATAACCAAGAATATGAATCCCTGCAGTCACGAAAGCTTTAAATCTAAATATATATGTACACACACACTAGCTATGACCAAACGACCGAGACAGCACCCAACCTCAGAAGTGAAGCAGGGTTAGGCCTAGACAGTTCTCGCGTAGCCACCATGCGCAAGAGGTGTTAACGGCTGTCACAGGACTACAATGTGGGCAGCATCAGAAGGTGGTAGATGAACCTCCATTGTTAGACTGTAATTCTATGCCCCACATCAATGTTATTCACCTGCACCAACACACACGGACCAGTGTGGTGAAGTATGGTCAATTAATTCCCACTACCCGCACAGTGTGAGGAGACCCTCATCCAGCAGTGGATTGTACATGTACGCCAAAGTTGTCGTAATTACACGTCGCACTAAATTCAACATGGATTTCCATTGCTATGTAGCTTCCTCAACTCTTCCAAGTTTCTAAATCACCCGCAGATCTCTCCCCACTGATCGATGAGACTGATGAAGAGGCTTTCCATCACATGACGAAGCTGTAGGTAATACTCTATCCTGTCTGATGGGTATTACGCTCAACGTCAGTGTTCAGTGCATGTGTGGGCTCAGAAGAATGCATTTGCAGCCCTCAAAAATGTATAGATCATGACAATTAGCAACACTACTCGCCACGGTGGCGAGATGTTAGCTCCCTTGCCTGGTATACAGGAGGTCGTGGGTTCGATCGCACCCCTGATGCCTGCTGTATATTTGGAGTTTGCAGTGTCCGTCATCCCCGTGGATTTTTTTTCGGGTCCTACAAATTATTCACTCCACCATTAGAAAAACATGCGTTTAGAATATTTGGCTGCTATAAATGTCCACGTAATAAGCCACTTCTTTGAGCTATCAGTTGTGCCCAGGTCACTTCTGAACGAGAGATATATAGCTCAGTGGGCCTTACCTGGTAAAATAAAAAAAAATGTTTAGTTTAAGTACTTACCATTTTATAATCAATTTTTAAAAATCATCATGAGCTGTCTAGGTGGATTATGGGTAATGAGACAATTAACCATGAGGTGATAGACAGCATTTCATCACTATTCATTATGACACTTAATGACGTCAGCCATTAAGGCTTTCACAACCAGTTGGCCCAGTTTTGACTTTGTGTCTCATCAGCAGGGTATGGCCTGCGACACATTTATCAAAAGCAGCCCATGTTTGCGTAGAATATTGTTTCAGTGCACTGAATTGACCCCATGGATCGTCATCAAAAGCCCTTGCCGACAACACCTTGGTTACCCCCCAGCAGCATTTGTTTACATGGCCAACATTGTCGAAGAAATGTTGATTGGGTTGACAAACAATTCGTCCACGTCCAACTTAAATAAAAAAACCCAGTCGGTGATAATATCACTCAAGGCTGCCACGTCCAGTTTCTGCTGCCAGATTTTAGGAACGATATCCTTGGCCAAAGTAAAACCATTCATCTGCTTTGTACAATAATCTCACCTCATCTGTCACCGAATGACTATTACTATCTGGATTAACGAGGCACCACACAACACACGTAAAATGTGGCAAAGATCCGCGCCCCTATGTGACCCCTCACCGCAGCCTGGCAATTGTCGCCCGAGCCGCGTTTTCGTGATAACGCGGTTGTTCTACCTGGGAACACTTTTCACACGCGGAACGCATCTTGTTTTAATGTGGAACGCATGCACCGTTATATAATGCGGTTTCTGAGCAGTCGACAACAAACTAATTTCTTGAGCTGCGCGGCTGAACAGTATGATACAGTACAGTAAAACCTTGGATTGCGAGTAACTTGGTCTGCGACTGTTTTGCAAGACGAGCAAAAATGTTAAATAAATATTAATTTGATAAATGAGCGATGTCTTGCAATACGAGTAGTGTACGTTTACGCTTTGTCTGCCGAGCGTCACGTGATCACAAGTGATATACGAGCGCTTTGGATTACAAACACGTTTCCGGAACGAATTATGCTCGCAATCCAAGGTTTGACTTGTGAATGGCATATCATCATCTCTATCCCGCCATGGGATGAATACAGGATAATTTTATAGCACAAAACGTGGTTCAAATTTGCATTGTTTTTATTTATTAAGTTATGCCCTGTAACGTACATGCAAGTAAAATTCCTCGCTTTACGCGGCACTTCTAAGGAAGGCATCTGCCGTGTTCAACGAGGAATCGCCCGTAGACTGACCGTGAGAAGTTGGGAGGGGTCTCACCGGTTAGCGAGCAGGAGGGCAGGCGATGTTGACGCCAGATTGGGCTTGGAGGAACCACTCAAAGAGGGGGAGACATTGGCATCTGAAATAAAACGGAATCGGCATTCATTACCACTCTCGGCGAAATAAAGGCCTAAATTAGGCCAACAACCGGGGACTCTTTGGAAAAAAAAGAAACATTCAAACAAGCTGCCGATGAATAATAGACTTTAGTTGCAATACTGTAAACAACAACAAAATACAACCCCAGTTCTTTGGCTCAAACCAATCTCAACATTGTAACTTCTAAACTCTCAGCGCTGCAAATAACAGCAGTTAAAATGCTGGGGGGGGGGGACACAGGTTGGCGGGGATTTAAAGAACGTGTCAAAATGTTTCAACTATTATCCATTACAGCTTTAATAGTGCTGTCTGTGGCTGGCCACTTGGCATTTTGGGCCATTGGGCCTGTGCTAAGTGAGGGTGATTTTCATTAAAAAAAAACTAGCGCTCTGAAAACTGTGGGGTTGCAAGTCCAGTGTGCTAACCGTTATGCCATTTAAGTATGTATGTTGAACTTCTTTCGCACCGTACGTAGCCAACTGTCGTAAATCGGAGGTGTGGGAGAAAAATAACAAACCAAACGCAAAAGGCAGTTTTCTAAAGAAATGAATTTTCATTCTACATTTAAAAGTGCACGGCTCCGGCGGCTTCCAAATATCAGAAGGAAGAGTTTTCGAGATGGCCGCAGAAGCGCGTCTGAAAGTGAGCAATGCGGTGACCTATTTGTTCGACGGTTGGCCAAACGTCGCTGCTGCGAAGATGACCACCGGAGTGGTTTGTGCTCCATGACGAGATCAGCAGGGCATTACGGTTCATTTGTGGCAAGCAGTTGGTGTGCGATGAGCGCCGCCTTACAACGCATTCGGAGGTCACCAGGATCTATCATTTCACCTTCCGGCATTGAAAGTTGAAACGATAGGGGGCAAAGTTTCTTAAATCTCACCGCTGCCCCTGTTTGCCCAGCAGCGTAAATGGAAACGCCACAGTCGATCGGCACAAGAACACAAACACGGGGGGGGGGGGGGGGGGGGGGGAGCGGGGGCACCTTGCGCGGGGAGCACGGAGAGGGTGATGCGCAGCCCTGAGTCGCGGATGAAGGTGACGATGTCGGCGTGGGGCATCCCCACGATGGAGCGACCGTTGAGCGCCACCACGCGGTCCCCAACTTTGAGCCTCCGCCCACGCTCAGCAGGGCTCCCCTCAATGATGTGACCTGGGCTCGGCCGGGGGTGGGGGGGGGGGGGAGGACAGGGGGAGAGGTTGAGGAGGGAGGAGGAAGGGGAGGTGCAGGAGCAAGAGGCAGATTGGATCACCATAATCCAAACTCAACAGTTATTCATAGGGGATGGATTGCTCTGTTTGGGAACTGGTGGGACCCGAGCTGGTTTCCGAGTCGTCGACGCAGCGTGAGCAACTGCACGAGGGCTTGAGGCGAACGAAGGCGGCCAATTTTTATTGGCGCTCGTGCTCCGACAACTTTTTTTTTTAGATAGATAAATGTTTTTTTCTCTTAAAACGCTCGCGCTCTCACCGATGCTGGCGCCGCCGTCAGGCCGGCTCACGGACGAGATGATGATGAAACCGAAGCCCTCGTTCTCCTGCCGCTGGATCACCACGTCGTACGGCTGCGCGTGCCCGCCGGAAGCGTCGTCGGCCCCCGGCGGCGGCGTGAAGGCCCGTCGCGTGGCGGGGCCCGGGTAGTGCTCGGGGGACGGACGGCCTGCCGGGGCCTCGGGGTACTGGGCCTGCTCCCTCCAGGGGGGCCCGCGCTGCACCCCGTCCCCTCCCCGCCCGTCGCCCTGGGCGCCGGCTGAGAGGTCACACGGTTGAGGTCACGATGTCGACGGCGACGGCGGTCAAAGCAGTCGATCCAAAAAGACGAGCGGTTGTTATTAAATAAATGGGTGGGAAAATATGCCTCATTCGCAAATTTGTGTCCCCGCACATCAAACGTTACAATATTTTTTGTAAACATCCCATCAAGCCACATGGCCTTCTGGAAGAGCGTAATCGCAACAGTACTGGGTCAATACAACCAAACTCTGGATGGGTATCGACATTCAGTGTCTCATCAGCAGAATCATTCTTGCTTTTTTTATTGTAAAATTTTGGTGTGAAAGATGCACAATTCCTATCCCCAAAATTAGAATTTTTTGTCTTCTTCAGTGCACGGGCAGCCCCCAATCACATTAATAAAAAACATCTTAGTCTGCGTGTTCATTGAGACCCATTAAGTCTGGTGGGCAGTAGTCAGTCATCATCACGCTTCATGGATTTCCGTGCACTCACGGTTATCGTCGACCAACATTAAAGCAACACACGGTTGACGAATATTGCCGTCACTAATTTCCTTAATGAAATTAACCCCTTCCCGTTCCGAGATGACTGCAAGTTGCAGGATGGGTCCTGTTCCCACTTAATCTTGGAGCGCGCACGCTGGTTAGCATTAATTTTATTTATAGAGGCTTAGCGCCGCTGGTTTTTAAAGACACTGGTACTGCACCCATCCGCAGAGAACTGCAGCGACATAACCGCACTCACTCTACAATAGCTGGCGCCAAACTGTGCCACACACACCCCTCCCACATGGCCACTTTAACGTCCGAAAAAAAAAACGGAAGACGTAAATGTACGTCATTGGAACGGGAAAGGGGTTAACATCGCGCTGGCTGCGACGTCGGCGGCGGTGGTAGTGGCGGCGTCGGCTCACCGGAGAGGGTTGGCCGGTGGATGGTGAGCGCCACGAGCCCGTTGCGTGCTGCCTGCTGCATGAGACCGATGACGCTGCGGTGGGACTTCCCCGACACGGGGATCCCGTCAACGGACACCAGCTCGTCGCCCGAGCGCATGCGGCCATCCAGGTCGGCCGAGCCGCCCGGCACGATGGCTCCGATGCGGATCTGAGGACGGACGGGTTGCCGAGCGGGTGCGGCCGATTGCCCGCGGCGGGTGGGGGGGTGTCAGAGGGCATGGAGGTTCACCGTGACGCGGATTTCTTCCACAGAACCCGGGGACCTGCGGTGTGCCTGAGACTGACCGTGTGGCTAATGGGCCTCCCCATCTGTGGAACCCATCTTTCCCAGAATGTTGGGGACTCTCTATTTGTTTGCACCCATCTGTGTAGCTTATATGTGCCTCATAAACTATTTTAATTCTTTTCAGTTTTTTTTTTCCATTTTATATACCAAAGATTTTATTTGTCAACAGTTGTATTCGTTAAGCATTTTTTTTTTAAGATTTGATTCGTTAAGTATGCATGTAGAACTTTTTTCGCACCATACGTAGGCAAAAAGCAAATCTCATTTTCCAAACTGCTTTTAATGTTTAGTTTGTTGTCCTTCCCCCACACCTCCAATCAGCAGGGTTGGCTATGTGCAGTGCGAAAGAAGTTCCACATACATTGATGCGAAAGGGTTAAACTGGGTTCTCAAGAGTTCACGGTCTCAGTCAGGATAATAGCCACTGAATATTAATAAAAAATCATTAGCTTGTTTTTATTACTCACATTGGCTAAATGGCAGCCCTGCGATTAAAGGGGTTTGAAGATAATTTGACAAAGATTGTTGCAAGACAGCAGGGCACGGCGCACTTGTGCACCCGTTAGTGCGTGAATAATTAGGGGGGCCGTGGGGGGGGGAAGGAATTGTCAGGTTACAGGCATTGGAGTGGAGCTCATAAGGTACAAAGGAGACGATGACCAGAATGTGGTTATACCGTGAGCACAGTTCTCTTCAAGGTCAGGTATGAACCATGAAAGAGCAGAGATATCCAGGGAGGTGATAGTGAAAAGTGATCGTGTCAAAGGCATTGGGCATGATGGCCTCTTAAAAACCGTTTGATTGAAAGAGACCTGTTGTCTTAATGGGTTCTCACACGACTGTAAATAAAAGCTCTCATTGATTTGTGGTTGCCGGGAAAATGCACAGGCTTGTAAATCCATACCCGTCTGCCTCCCACGCTCTCTGCTCCCCAACTGTCCACACTTCCCTTAAATGGGTTCAAGGGTTGACGGTTCCATATTTTTTAAAGGGAGACCATGGGCTTATGAAATGGGTTTAATTAAAAAAATGTGTATATCCTATGACCAAATCGGCAGGGGGGGGGGGGGGGAGGTCGGCACCAGGCGGTTCAGGTCGGCACAAAACATTCGTGAACACAAAGCAGACCTGAAACACGGTAGGACCAACACCTCGGCCGTGGCAGATCACTGTTATAATTCAGTTGGTTCACATGACATTGACTTCTCCAAGACAGAGGTTCTTTGCAAGCCATCTGGCTACCATGAGAGATTCGTTCATGAGGCTATCCACGTATACAAACACAGAGACAATTTCACCCGAGAAGATGGATTCTGTCTTAGCAATCATTGGAAGGATTTGATAAACCATTTCGGGTCTTAATTGATTGTTCACGCTTACGGTGGCTTTCAGACCGCATCCATTATTTTCGTCTCCCCCCTCCTCTTTTCTGAACATAGATGGACTCGTCCATCTGAATAAATGCCAAATCGCTCTCCGTGGTGCTAACGTAAAAAAAAAAACACCATTTTTTCAAATTTTCTTGCTGTGGTTTTCACACCTGATGATGATTGCTTGTGTTTGCAGTCGAAACGTCGTGAGAATTTTATTGTTTTATATTTTTATTATTTTATTGTTTCCCTTCTACGTGACTTTACCGAAAGAACCAAGAACATATTGCAAAAACGCTTAAAACCCCGCGACACGTACCGGCTGACCAAGCTCCTCTCCTCCGAGTATCCGGAAGCCAAACCCGGCCTCCTGTCTCCGCAGGTGGATCGTGATCTCCTGGTAACTGTTTCCTGCTCGCGCACACACACATACATACAAACACGTGACGACGCATCCTTGCGGTCACATCCGTCCGCTCGTCTGTCGAGAAAGGGGTGCGGCCAATGTCAGTGCTCACCAAGAGCCCCATGTAGCTCAAGGGGCCATGGTTTCATGAAAATAATAATCGGAGCATTTATGTACAGCAGGTTGAACTTCGGTCGCAGAACTGTACGAAGCCAACCGCGCTAATCGGAGGCGAGTAGATCAAATAACAGCCAAAGTCACGTTATAATAAACATAACAAGCCAATTGGATCATAACAAAAGATTATCAATCTATCCGTCTCTCTATCTTGTCTGCAACTCGAATCTCACTTCATCTCTTTCCGTCTACATTTCTCACATCTCAATACACCTACGTCTCGTCGACAACAACAATAATAATAACAAGAATGAAATTTATAAAACGCACGCAATATTTCGCAGAGAGGTTAACGACTGCAATATCTCTTCCGCAATTTCACTAGAAAGGAGAGGGGGGAGGGGGGGGGGCTCCACTGTGGGAGAGCATCATCAGTGAGTCTGGTCCCAACATCACAGGCGGAAAAAGCCTGCGCTGCGAGCCGTTTTAGTTCCGTTGAGACGAAAACTAAAAAAAACCACGGAGTCCTCGACTTCCGAACACAATACCATCCGGGGGACCCGTTCGTTAAGTCGGAACACAGTAATGTTCTCTACATTTAAATGCCCACACACACAAACAGCCACTCCCAGCGCGAGGCTGACTCATGTGTCTCGCGGGGGAACGATCAGCTGAACAAAATAGTCAATGCTAAAAAAACACAAAAGCGAATTTTCCATGGAAGCTGGTTCGTAAGCGCGGGTGTTCATAAGTCAAGGACTGCCTGCATTAAATCAATTTATATTTGACCAGGTAAGGCCCACTGAGCTTTTTAGCTCTTTTTCAGAAGCAACCTGGCTATCACACATGATAGCTCAACGAAGTGGCTTATCATCGTGTGGAAATTTATAGCAGCCATATGACTCAAAAAGCATGTTTCTAAGGGACCCGGAGAAAAATCCACGCGACCACGGGGAGAACATGCAAACTCCAAATATCCAGGCGTCAGGGACGGGATTGAACCCACGACCTCCTGCATACCAGGCGAGGTAGTTAACGTCTCACCACCGTGGTGCCCATTCGCATGGGCCACCACCACATGGACATAACCCCTCATGGGAGAATCGTGAACCCAGAAGTCCTAATCCATAAACCATGCACCCCCCCCCGCCCCCGTACCCTCCGAGCACACCCTTTTCAGTAAGTGCCAGGCATGTGAAAAGCCCAATGAAAATAAAAAAGGAGGCATTTGTCTTCAATACACTGCTGTTGCGAGAGTTCATAATGGACGCTTCATCTAATGCACGGTCGGGCAACCAAGATAACAAGCAGAGCCATTTTTTTCTTTTCTCGAAATCGGTGGAAAAAATAATCAATATTTGAAGAGTCGCAATGCAATGTGAATACGAGATGGGTGGTTTTTAATAAACAACGGTCACGAAGCAGTCCTCTTAAAGAGCCACATACGGCTCCGGAGCTACGGGTTGCAGACCCCTGAACTAATGATCTAATGGATCAGGGGTCCTGGTGGCGAGATGTTATCTGCCTCGCCTTGTATACAGGAGGTCGTGGGTTCGATCCCAACCCCGACGCCTATATATTTGGAGTTTGCACGTTCTCCCCATGGTCAACGTGGATTTTTCTCTGGGTCCTCCCGTTTTCCCCACCCACATTTTGAATCACGCGTTTAAGAGTATTTGGCTGCTGTAAATTTCCACGTGATAAGCCACTTTGGCGAGCTTTCATTTGTGGCCTTCTGAAGGCGCTATATAGCTCAGCTGGACCTTGCCTGGGAAATAAAAAATAGTTAACAGTAGTAATGACATGGTACTGATTGGCAAGATAGGAATAAACATTGGTGGGGTTGGGGGAACCAGTACAAGCCGTGGACCACAGCAGCAGGGAGGCAAGCAACAGCAGGATCATCACAAGACGGCGGCAACTGCCTGACGGACAGAACCCCAACGCACGCTGGGAGTCCTCGTAGAGGCTCTGCGGGTCCTCGTAGACGCGGGACGCCTCCTGCCGGCCACGGAACTCCTCGGCAGGAGGCCGCCGATAGGAGGGCTGCGCGTGGGGTGGCACGATGCCCGCGGAAGGCAGGGCCGGAGGCTGCGAGAAACGTCGGGGCGGCGAGTCCCGTGTCAAGCTGCCCTGGCTGTCGTGTCGTTCGTAAGCCTGCTGCCGGGACAAAAACGCATGCACGTTGGAGGAGGGGGGAGGGGGGGGGGGGTGTTTCAGTTAGCAGATTTGTGCATCTTAACCCCTTTCCCATTCTGATGACGTACGTGTCCAATGACGTTCGCGTACGCCACTGGAACGGAATCAGAAAGAGACTCAAGTAAAATAATTGTATCTGTACCGCGGCTCCCACAAGGCCATGCGGGAGGACGTGTGGCACAGTTTGGCGCCAGCTATCAACGAGTGCAGTCGTCTCGCTAAGTTCTCTGCCGTGAGTACCATGTCTTTAAAAACAGCGGCGCTACTCCTTTCTAAACAAAACTAACGCTAGCCGCTTGCGCGTTCCGAGATTCATCGGCGATCGAGACCCACCCTGCAACTCGCAAACGTCTCGGTAACGGGAAAGGCAACTTGCTCGGCCTGCTCTTTCACAGTGGCCACGCCATTTCGGTTGAGGTGGAAGCAACCACAACTCCGTCCCACTCCACGCGAGCGACCCTGCCTGTCGACTCACTTGTGGCGCGTGCACACCTATACTGGATCGAACTCCCGGGTCGCTGGGTCTGGAGCACAGCGTGCTAAACACTGCACCGCCATCGGCTCCACTCCACTTGCCAGCAATGACAGCCATTAGTTTGTAAAACTATGACCACGTTCTCCGGGTTATGAGATGCACTTTTTTCCCGCCAAACCTGTTTTTAAAGCAAAAGCAGGTGGGGTAGCGAGACGTCATGATTTCGTAGGTGTCTATGAGTGTGCGCGAGACCATGGTTCCTGTTTAGTCCTAACTAGGGTAAGGTGATGTCATAAAATCTTCACAATTTTGGAAATCACCCGATGATGCTGCTTGCAATCGCCAGCGAAACGTTGTACTCAAATTGTAAATGCTGTGGGTTATAGTTCTGGAACACAGCAGTACGTAGAGACTAAATTAATATTTTTGTTCGCATGGTGGAGGTGGGTGTACGACACATTGTATTCACGTGACCCAAACCGAAAAACGTTATCGTGGCTAATATTGTTCGCGAAAGCCTACGTGTAACGTTAACTTGTTAGTGTCATGTAAACACGGGAAACGATGCGCTGTACAGCCGTACCATTTGCGCCACTCTGTTGGGGGAGAACGGCGATTGCCCTGCAAGAGAAGATGTGCACAGAGCAGATGAGCACAGCGCCACAATCGACGCAGGCGCACACGACTGCACAACCATCCAAGTGGCACCTGTGTATGTATGCATGTATCCGTGTAGAACTTCTTTCGCACCCTACATAGCCAACCGTGATAATCGGAGGTGTGGGGGAAGGACAACAAATGAAAACACAAAAAGTTGTTCTAAAAGACATGAGTTTTCAATCTACATGATTGAAAAGGGCGCAGCTCAAGTGACTTCCTAATATAGGAAGAGCATTCCAGACGGCTGCAGAAGCGCAATCTGAAAGCGCGATGTGGCGACCGTCTTTGTTCGATGGTCAGTCAAAAGTCGCTGCTGCCAGGATGACCGGAGTTCACGGATGGTTTATAGCTGCTTGACGAGATCAGCAACGTATTGTGGTTCATTTGTGGCAAGCAATTTGTGCGTAATGAGTGCGACCTAATAACAACATCCGACTCGCAGCCGGAAGGCTACGGGTTAAAATCCTGGCTGGATGTTGGTCCAGTCCAATGCTTCATTTCAGCCAGAAGTCCACAACACTATTCCAATAATTATTTTGGCCACGCCACATACGTCTTGCCTTGTTTATGGTCCTAAACTTGTTCATGGGATTATTAGACTAGAGAGTAAACTAATATAATATTTAGATTTTAAGCTTTCGTGACTGCAGGGATTCCTATTCTTGGTTCTTTCGGTAAAGTCACGTAGAAGGGAAACAATAAGATAATAAAAATATAAAACAATAAAATTTTCACGACGTTTCGACTGCAACATAAGCAATCATCATCACAAGCAACCATCATCAGGTGTGAAAACCACACCTGATGATGATTGCTTGTGTTGCAGTCGAAACGTCGTGCTAATTTTATTGTTTTATATTTTTATTATTTTATTGTTTCCCTTCTACGTGACTTTACCGAAAGAACCAATAATATAATATTATTATGGATAGGTGTAGCTTGTACTCAAGTGTTAGTTGGTGCCTTACATCAATAATTCCTACTCTAAGCTGGCCTGTCAACGTTCTGGACTAGTGAGAAATTAAGCTTAGAATAAGTACCACTTCAAATTACAAATACTGTACGTACTTTATCTACTTCCTTATCAAGAAAGCAAGGTACTTTCAATGTTATAAAAGAAGCATTGTTCAAGACATTCCTCGTGTCTGTGCATTCCATGCCCAACAATAATACTTCTGTGTTCTGGGACTCTGACACATGAGTAGATGCCTGTTCATCACATTAACCGGGCACATTGCACAAGAAGGACAGTATGCACATTGACAACATTAAGTTTAGAAAGCTTTCCAGCCACATATTCTTGGTTCTTTCGGTAAAGTCATGTAGAAGGGAAACAATAACATAATAAAAATATAAAACAATAAAATTCTCACGACGTTTCGACTGCAACACAAGCAATCATCATCAGGTGTGAAAACCACAGCAAGAAATTTTGAAAAAAGTGGCGTTTTTTTCTTAACGTTAAGAAAAAACCGCCACTTTTTCAGTCGAAACGACGTAAGAATATTTTTTTTTATATTTGCATTATTTTATTGTTTTCCTTCTAGGTGACTTTACCGAAAGAATCAAGAATATGTCCCTGCAGTCACGAAAGCTTTAAATAAAAATTATTTCCAGCCACATTATAAACTAACAAATAAACTATCTGTAATTGACCAGGTAAGACCCATCGAGCTATATGGCTCATTTTCAGAAGCGCCCTGAAATTTATAGCAGCCAATTACCCTAAAACAGATGTTTGTAAATGTGTAGGGACAAACTAGAGGACCCTGAGAAAAATCCACGTGACCACGGGGAGAGAGAGAGCGATATGCAAACTCCAAATATACAGGCGTCAGGGTTGAGATCAAACCCACGACCTCCCGTATGCCAGGCGAGGGAGTTAACATCTCTCCACCGTGGCGAGACGCTTCACGTCGCTTACCCCCCATCCCTTTAAAATGAGAGACTGTTGTGAACATCCAAGTTTGCTCACCCTACCCCTCGGCAATCCAAGACACACTTCACGCAATCTTTCTTGCGACATTCCAAGAGTACAAAAGTGCCTCGCGCGCACGGAACGATATCGTCTCCGTCGACGCTAAAGCCCCGTTTACTGTGCGCGGTCGGCTGCCGTGGATCTCTCTTCCCGCGAGCATCGATCCCGCGCCTTTTCTCTCGTCACATCCACGGTCCTCGCATCTCACACCACCGCATCGTCCCGTCTCGGGAAACGCGGATTTAAAGGCGGAGACACTGCATCCGAGCTACATTTGTCATCATCATTATCATCACAAACGCAGTCGATCGTCTTCTCCACAGATTGAATCAGAGATGTGAATATTTGGAAACTACAGTGCATGCCACCTGTTCCAAATATAATGACCGGTGGCTTAGAAGCCGGGTGATATAAATAGAGCAATAACCTTTTTGCAATATGTTTAAGTGAAATGGATTAGTGACACACGTTTTTTTTATTGGCAAAACAAACTCTGAAACTAGTCAAGAGTGTTCCTGCTATGTTTGGGCAGTGAAAATTACTACGTATATATTACTTCTTTGTCGTTATCAGCTATGATCAATCCACTGCTGGATGAAGGCCTCCCCAAGCCACCGCCACCACATCGACCTTGCTGACCCTCCCGTACTGCGACGTCTGTGAAAAAGATCTTTGTACCTTATCGGATTCCTCCAGTGTGAATAAAGATTTCCGAACAATCCTGCAAAGTCATAGCCTACCCGACAACCGCGCATGAGCAGTTTTAATTCTGCATATCCTCGGCAGATGTTCCACCTCAGGCATGTTCAAAATCTTGGCTGCCACTCCAATATTGTTCTTAAGCATCGTCCCTTCTAGCCACGACTTGTCTTGCACAAGTTCACCGACTCCTTCTGCTCGTTTTTCAGCTGCGTACGTTCTTGGAGCCCACATATTCCTCCCGGTCTGGCGTCTTTGCACACTTTTTAGTTTTAGTTCGGTATTTTTCATGTAGGATTTATTACGCACAATCAACCAAGACCACACATCATCAATTTTGTTTAAATTTATGACGACTCTCCCCCCCCCGTCCTCCCTCATGAAGGACTATCGGGTAATAAAAGAAAGATTACACTGGTTTTAAGGTTTCAGTCTCGTCGGCAGTGTGTGGGGGGCTTGTTCAACACTTGTAGCTCGGGTTTCCCTGATGTCATGGGGAAACAATAACAATATAAATTATATACAAGGGCTCTCCACGAAAACCTTGGGACATGTTCAGAGCAATACAGAAATATTGTACAAAATTTATAAACCGTTATGAAAACGCTGGCACAAATCCCAGTGGGTGGCAGGCAAAAATGTTGTGCTATTTTAACTTTTATGTGACAAGCCAGACCCCCTCGTTTGTTTGCAATGCGACTAGGAAATGCCCGTGACATTTCACGCAATAAGTTTTCATTTGACAAGGACATTTCTTTTCAACTCTCACCTTAAAACATGACAGGAATAAATAGAGTCAAACATTTCTTTGCAAACTCCACTGTTGGGGGGACATGCATTGTGTAAACATTTCGTCATGGTCTCTTTGACCTACGTTGGAGGTCACGCGTCACGCACAGGGCTCGTCCTCACAATATTCATTCACCCTGGAAGAATCCGACCGTGGGTCCCCTGGCTCCACCCGGTCAGAATGCGCCCTCCCCCTAACTCACTCCTGTACGACGGGAACAACGCAAGCGAGCGCTGTGGAAGTGACTTAGAGGGCCGCATCGCACACGGACAATTGACAGAACGCTCCTCGTCAGGCAGACGACGTCCGCTCGATGGGCGACCGCGCCCGTCTCTCGTGCCGCCACCTGCGGCCATGAAATTCAGCTGCACCGAGCCTTCTGGCTCCTTCAGATCCCACCTTAAAGACATCCGTGCTTAAAAGGCTTCATAGCTTCCTTAATACTCTTCTTTTGTTCTTTCGGTAAAGTCACGTAGAATGAGAATAAAATAATAAAATAACACAATAAAATTCTCACGACGTTTCGGCCACAACGCAAGCGGCCGTCTTCAGGTGACGGCCGTCTTCAGGTGACGGCCGCTTGCCTTGTGGCCGAAATGTCGTGAGAATTTTATTGTGCTATTTTATTATTTTATTCTCATTCTACGTGACTTTACCGAAAGAACCAAAGAAGATTAATCCTTGCAGTCACGAAAGCTTTAAATCGAAATTTCCTTAATACTCTTTGGTTCTTTCGGTAAAGTCACGTAATAATAATAATAGATCATGACGTTTCGATTGCCACACGAGCAAATCGGTTGCTTGTGTGTGCGATCGAAACGTCGTGATGTATTATTATTTTTCTAAATACGTGACTTTACCGAAAGAACCAAAGAGTATGGATTCCTGCAGTCACGAAAGCTTCAAATCAAGATTGAACTTCCTTAATAATTTTCTGTTTACCCTTGGTGTGTGCATTTTGATTTGGTAGGATGTTCTTATCACGAGGCCCTGCATGCTTTGATTAGGTTTTCAATAATACGTTTCTCCCCCGTATGCATTTAATTTCTGTTCTTAGCTCTGTGCCGCCACTGTGCAAATAGGTGTTCGCCATTTACTTCCCTCGCACCGTCTGAGTAGCACACCTGGCTACGTACGGTGTGAAACAGGTTCAGCATATGTACGTTACCATTATTACAACTGCAGGGCAGGGGTCGAAGCTTAACCAGCGAAGAGGTTTGAGCGTAACCGATTAATTCACGACAAGGGCACCGTCTTCATCATCGCGGTCGCCGCCTCCCCGGCGGGCGTGTTTACCTCCGCGCTGCAGCAGCATGGAGGCCTGGGCGCCCGTGGCGCACTCCTTGAGCAGCGTCACCACGTCCATGTGCGAGCACTCGCGCACCGAGCGCCCGTTGATCTCCAGGATGAGGTCTCCCTCGCGCAGCTCCAGGCCTCGGCGGCTGTCCAGGATCTGCTTGATGCGCTGCCCGCTCGGGCTGTCGGCGATCGTGAAGCCAAAGCCCGCACGGCCTTCAGTCCGTTGCAAACAACAGAGGCCGGCACCTCCGATTTGGCACGGTTGGCTACGCGCGGTGCCAATAAAGTTCAACATACGTACACGCGTGCAAAGATCACCCCCCCCCCCCCCCCCCCCCCCCCCGTCTTTAGTCAAGATCCCCCGTGTAGCCTGTAACAGAATGTTGGGGCAGGCGCTGTTGGCGGAGCACCGATGAAGACCGGCACTGTGGCACATGAGGGGGTGGGGGGTGGCCAACACCACTTCCCGGTCGCCTCTGTCTCCAAAGCGGTGATGTGTTACACATCGCACGAGGTACTCATTCGAGGACCGAGTTGACCTAGGGGAGGCCCCCAGGACTGGTTCAGATACTCGACACCGGTCTTGGCCGTGAGTGAGAATCGAACACGCGTTGCCGGGTCCGTAGCGCAGTGCGCTAACCACTAAATACACACACACACACGCGCGCCCACCACAGACGTTTATTTGTTCCACACCACAGGGGCAGAGCGATCGATCAATCAATCAATCGTTATTTATCTACACAATCTCACGATGCAATAGCGTGGAGCATTATAGATAAAAAAAATACATAACACTGCGCTACAGCAACGCATGAGTGTGTGTACGGCATTGTTTTTGGAATTGAACGAGGCCTCGTGATTTAAATCGAGCGCTTTCGCTAATAACTTCCCGTGATCCGGCAGCATTTGTTCAACAAGCCTGACCCTGATGATGAGAGCCAGAAAGTTAAAAGCAGTTCCGAGTTTGTTTTGCTCAAACAAATGCTGATTTATAAAACCGGCCTAGGAAGCCATAGGGGCAGATGAAATGAAAATATTTATAATTTATGGCGTGGCACAAGAACGGAGTTCCGCTTATATTTTATTTAAAGAGCGCCCCTTCACATCAACGAAGGTGTCTCGGAGCGTTTGCATGAAATAAAATGTACGTGAATTGTCGATATATAAATACAAGACATTTAGTTTAAAATATGAACAAAGCAACGTGACCGTGGGCATATCCACCGCTCATTTACGCGTGCGAAACGTAGTTCCCTTTAAACATTTATCATTGCATCTCTAGGCACACCGGTACATGGCAGGCCTTTTTTACCTCATACTTGAGCCGTTCAAAGTCACTCCCACCTGCTCTTGCTCACCTCTAATTCACCGCCGCATATTTACCTGCCATGATAGATTTATTACGGTGGACACTGACGTACAAAACTAAACACAGGAGCTGCAAAATGCGCAAAGATTCGCGGAGGAGGTGGTTACGAAAAAATCGCACTGAGGGACAGAATGAAGAACACACGGGATCAGACAAACGAACACACATTAGGGCTCATCGTATCGAATAAAAAAAAAATCGCAGGACAACGCTAACTTACGGAATATACGGAGGCAAGCTGTGGACCCACTGGCAACAATTACCAAAAAAATTAAGACTCGGAAAGTTGACCAAGGGAAAGTCAATTCACTTGGGAGAGGGGTGGGTCACTTCGCGGATGGAACCACCGCACCAAAATCGCTCCGCGCCCACTGAGAACGTACGCAACGGTAAACCTGTTTAAACACGTGGGGCTTTTGCGACCAATATCATCCAAAAGAGGTTTTTTTTTCTGGTTAGATCGTGTAAATATATAAATGTGTCAATTCTAGACTTTAAGTTTTCGTGACTGCAAGGATCCATACTCTTTGGGTCTTTCGGTAAAGTCACGTAGATGAAAAATAAAAATAATAATGAAAATAATAAAATGAAAATAACTAAATTAAATCACGACGTTTCAGGGGCAAATGCGTCATCAGGTGGGAAAGCCATGGTCTGCTGCTGATGCAGAATGTTGTAAAACATGGTCTGCTGCTGCTTGTGTTGCGCCCAAAACGTCGTGATTTAATTTAGTTATTTGCATTTTATTATTTTCATTATTATTATTATTTTTCATCTACGCGACTTTACCGAAAGAACCAAAGAATATATAAATGTATCTTTAAACCCGCCACCACCCGACACAGCAAACTAGTAAGGGTTGTCACGTAAATAGAACGTGTCGATTCGTCACTAGTACAGCACGCCGGTGTGTTGGAGAGCCAAGCCACAACATTTACAAATTTCGGGTACGACGTTTCGCCAGTAATTACAACTAGCTTCATCAGGCGACAGCCAGATTTGTGGAGAAGTCCTCCACCTGTTTCGTTCCTTATCTAGAGGTCAACGTACATTATGCATGCGCATTATGTGAGCCCATTAATCTCGTCCTTCCTGTCCATTGTGTGTATTGAAATAGCCCAGATTAAATATTGACTTGAAGCTTTCGTCACTGCAGGAATTCATATTGCTTGTGTCCTGTGTTGCGTCGAAACGTCATAGTTTTTTTGTTTATTTTATTATTTTTTGAACCTATCTACGTGACTTTACCAAAAGACACGAAGAATATGAAGCCCAGACTAATTAAGCGAATCTATCGAAATTGAAAGAAATAAAAAATTATTTTAACCGTTCGGATAGCGACCGACTTAGTGCTGCGTGGAAGCGAATAATCAAATAACATTGTTTAAATGCATGCCTATACAGCCCACCTTACTTCAATAGGGACATGGCCGAGTGGGGGGGGGGGGGGGGGAGCACGATTAGTAAACCCCCCACCCCCTCACCCCACCGCTTGCCGCCGAGGTCCACCAGATTTGAACCCCGGCGGGCCGCCCCCCCCGGTCAACGCCGCCGCTGCCACCTCCGTCACGCGAATCCTCCTTACCCTTGACGATCTTGACGGACACGAGCTCGGGCTGCGAGCCGACGGACGACGTCTGCGAGCCGCTGTCGTCGTAGTAGCCATTGGCCTTGGCGATGTACGTGGGCGGCGAAAACGGCCGGCGGTGCGGGTCGTAGGTCGGCGGCGACTGCGCGTGGGAGCTGTCGGCGATGTCCGGCATCGATTTGGACGAGCCGGGCCCCCCGCGGTCGGATGGCCGGCCGTCCTGGTAGGGCGGCACCTCCAGGTCCGGGTCGTCGGGGTCGTAGGGCAGAGGGTAGCCGCGGCACAGCTGAAGGTCGACGGAATCGCCCACCGGCACCGACTGGAACATCCTCACCACCTCCTTTTGGGTGAAGCCGAGCACACAGGTGTTGTTCACGTACACGATGACGTCACCTGCGGAGGTTTGGCGACGGGGGCGGGGGAGAGAGGAAAGCCTCACCGCAGAGCCTGGGGGGGAGATTCCTGCTTAGGAGAGGTGGCCAAAGTGGCTCAGCCGTCGGAGCCCTGCGCTGGTACTGCTGAGACCATGGGGTTGAGCCTGGGTTTTCGGCCGCCTGTAAATCAAACTTGGTTGTGAAGCCGACTGTGCAACTTTTAAGTGTTATCTTCTTGTAGGTACGGGGTTTCCACCGGGTACTCCGGGTTTGCTCCCGCACGCAACAAAACATCTCGTTAAATGGGGCCGGCCAATCATCCCAATGCAGGACTTTCCTGATCAGTATTTCTATTTCCTTCTTCATCCTTTCCTTCAATGTTGATCACAAACGTTCACAAATATTGTTGGCATCACGTCGTGAGACAGCGTCCGTCCGGATCAATCGCAGAGCGTTGCATGCCCCTCGTCGCTAGAACGGTCCCACAGAAGCGAATATCACAGAGCTCCCTCTGAGAGCTCTTCAAATGAGTATTTATTTTACGACTTGCCAACAACACCTTAAAACATGATGCAAAATAAGAATTAAGACATGGGCTAAACATCCTAATGCACAACGTGCATTAAAAATGGTTTTGAGGCTGTGGCTTTATCGGCTATATAAATAACTCACATTATTGTTTGATAAAATTATTGGCCTACTTAAGTATGTACTATTTACAAGAATAGATTTTGAAGTGAATATATAGCTGAATGTCATTGAACTCTGGTAATTGAGATTTCTTATTCAAGAGGAGACTGCCATTTTCTTTGATAAATAAAGATCATTATAGTTTATTATTCCTGTATCATTATTAACCGGAGAGACAGCACAGCCGTTAAGAGCTCGCGGCTTGCCATTGGAAGGTCACAAGTTCAAATGCTGGCAAGGGGTTGTTGACTCAGCCCTACATCCCCCCAGGGTTGAAAACATGAGCACCACTTTGTGGGCAGTCAACTCGTGTCATCCTATCAGTAAACTCACCCCCTGCCACTGCCACCATCGTTATCAACAGCGACCTCGATCAATCCACTGCTGGATTAAGACCTCACGGTCCTCCAATAGGGGAAACAATCATATTCTTGGTTCTTTCGCTAAAGTCACATAGATAGAAAATAAAAATAATCAAATAAAATCGAAAGTAAAATAATAAAAGCAAAAAAACCCACAATAAAAATAAAAACAGTAAAATAAAACAATCCGCCCGGCTCCTGCGCACGAGGCAATCTCATTGCTCCACCTCCGCCACCTGGATGCGTTCCCTCCTTTGGCTGCCACTCCGTTGTCATCCTTGCCCCACCGACCGTCGGCCTTAGGATTGTGGCGTTTCCACACGAGCACCACGCCACGCTTGTTCGAGCAGGCAAATGCGTAACGCCGATTGCTATTACGTAAATGTGTGCTGGGAATGCGTTTTGGCTGAAAGAACGCCAGACTTTTGCGAAATATTGGATTCGTAATAATGATGTAATCACTTAACACGTCTTTGTGCCAACAAAGGTGCTGTCACCAGATGTCAGGTGACACCACTGTTGGCGGTAAAGGCGCAAAATCACTTCCGGTGATGTGATTTTTTAAAAATATTTATCCGGATCGTCTAAAAATGTTTCCTCTCAGCCATATTTTCAGAGTTCTCAAATTAATCCAATGACCAGAAACACATGACCCTAATGTGCAGACTTCGCTCCAGCTCCTTAACGATCAGATTATATTTCCGATGCACGGACCACGCATGTGTCAAAAGGTCGATGTTCGTAGGGCCCTTTAATTGAGCTGCGTAACCAATACGCCCAACAGCACAGGGGGCCCAATGACGCGTGGACAAAACGCACAAGCGCGACATACCAGAGACGTAAGTCAGCACCCCCCCCGCCACTCCCTTCGGTTAAAAATATCCAGACGACTGTCATCCCTCACGGCCACATCAGTCGTAAAGCTATTAAAATAACAATCCGGTGGATGAATAAGCTGCAGTCGATTTAAAGATTATTTCTCAAAGTCGAGTTTGGTACAGAAGAACGAGATCTCTCTTTTGGGGAGTGACCTTCAGCGACCTTCAGGACGGCACCGGTAGGTGGCTTCAAACAAGCCGAAAGGCACAAAATATTTGACCTCCTTTTTCTGCCAGGGTCAGAAAAATTATCCCCGAAGTTTGAAATAAACGCACGGAGATTTCACGTGGCAATCGCAGCGGGTTAGCTCTGAACTCGACGACCTCAGCTCGATCCTCGCCCACGGCTAATGTCAGTGGCAAGTTAGGTCTTCACCAAAACTGGGTTAGCACACCACCCTTCCACCTCCTCCACCTTTCACAATCCCACACTAACCAGTGCGGTGAAGTACGGTCAAACAACCCCCCTAGGTATAAGATGGTATGAGGAGGCCTTTCATCCAGCAGTGGACTGACACAGGGCTGTACACACAATAATAACGAGTGAACAGTATTTATCCGATAATAGGTTTTTTGGCTCCCGTCATAGAAACGTGGGAATTTTGCAGCACTGTCTCAGAGTCCCCCCCCCAATGGTGATGAGGGCCACTAAGGATTCAGAGGGGCCATCTGCATTTGACTCGACTTTTCTTGGAAGATAACCACTTATTTATAATACTTCTGGTGTTGCACGATGACAAAACGTCGTGGGGCTTCCTCGCAGCGACGGACTGGGACAAAAAAATAATCTGCCCAACCATTTGTAAACACATTGGCCCAAATTCGGGCTATGGGTAATCATTTTTGCTTGTTAAACGGCTTGTGCGACGAACTGTACGCTAGCAGCTAGATTTTCAGGTGTGACGTACAAGCGTCATTTTGCTGTGCAATCTCATGGTCCATTTGGGCTGATCCAAAAAACACAAATGGGCCGGTGAGAAAGTCTGCCAAATGAGAGCGTAAATAAGCAATGAAGCATACACATTAGAGATAATAGCATATTTTAATGTCCCCACCGGCCCTCTGAATGGACTGGCCCAACCGGCATTTGCCCTACAGACTGCTGCCCTGTGGCCAGTCCGCGCCTGCTTGCTCGCTCGGAGATATTTTTTGTGAATTCCTCGCCGTTTGTAAACGCGGAAAGGGGACTGCGGCGGGAAGGGCTTCTGCTCTGACGAGCGGCTCGCACACCCCAGCACCGCATTGCCGAGTAACGGAATCACAGCTGGCCTGACAGTTCACGACACGTTTTAGTCCATCGGCCTTTCATCTTCCCAGACGAAATATTATCCAGCGGCGACTGTTGAAGGCAAGCAACACTCTGGGCCAGCTTAGCTTCGACCTTTCTGGTGCTCATCAGCAGCGGTCAGGCTCGTTAAACAAATGCTGCTGGGACTGCCAGGATGTTATTGGCAAGAGCAGTTCATATAAAATATGGAACACCCCCTCCCCCGCCCCCGTTCGGCGCAAAGAGCAAGGGCACATGGGGGTCACGAAAGGGCTATAGGGGAGGGATGGGAAGGAGTGGAGGGAAGAGGAAGGGGATGGGCAACAGGGAAGAGGTGAGGCTTCGACCAGATGAACGATGAAGGAAATTACCCCGAAAATTACTCAACTGGGATAACAGGCAGCGAATATGGTTCCCCTCCACTGCGAAATCTGTGTGTGTATGGTGAACTTCATTCGCACGTACATAGCCCACCTTGGTAATCGGAAAAGTCTACATAGGTATGTTCAACTCTTTCACACCATACGTAGCCAAATTTGCTAATGCCAGGTCTACGTACGCATGCTGAACTTCTTTCGCACCGTACGTAGCCAACCACGCTCATCGGAGGCGAGCGAGTCGGAGGAGTGCGGGGGGGGGGGGGGGGGGGGGGGGGGGGGGGGGAGGCGCTCACCTCTTCGCATGCGCCCGTCTCGCGTGGCCGGTCCGTCGGGCACGAGTCCGCGCACCTGCAGGAACTCGTGTGGCGTGTCTCCGCCCACGATGGTGAAGCCAAAGCCCTGGCTCGTCTTGAGCAGCGACGCACGCACAGAGGAGCCGTGCAGCTCCCGCGGGTCACGCGTAAACACCCACACGCCTGGGCGACGTCGGGGCAGGACGAGGGGGGACGGGGCAAGGTCAGGCAGGGCAAGGTCAGGCAGGGCAGAAGCAGGGAAAGGGGCAGGAGGCAGGGCAGATACGTGGGTAGAGGCCAAGACAAAACGCCAAGTGATGTGACAGGGGGTGGGGGTGGCCAGCACCACGCCCAGCTGCCTTTGTCTCCCTAGCAGCAATGTTTACACACCGCACCAGGGACTCATTTGCTGCTCAGCTGACCTAGGTTAGGCCCAGGACCAGTTCAGAAAATTGCGACTGGTGTTGGCCATGAGCGGGAAACGCTCACGGCACACTCACTGCTACACCACCGCTCCCCACAATATAAAGACAAAACACACAGACACACGGAACTCATAACCAGACGTTGGCACGCACACCCACCATAAACTCTTTGGGTCCTGAAGAACTCTATACAGACGTACAGATAGGGGAGCAGACACTTAGTCCATTGCGTGGGAGACATATTCCGCTGAACACCACTGACGCCTGGCTCTGTAGGGTGCGAGGGCAGCTCGCGAGAGTGACCCGCTGCCCATCGTATATATTTGGAGCTCCATTACCTTGCTCGGGCGGATGTGGATCGTAGGAGGAGGTGGTGACGAGGAGGTCGTTGGCACTGTGAGACCTCTGGGGCTGTGGGCTTCCGCCGCCGGGCTTCGAACGAGGCAGTGTCGATGAAGAGACGTCCGCTGAGAGAGGACCAATACAACAACAGCATAAAAAGACAAAGATTCCCCGTGTTGCCCACACAGGCTGGTAGTGAACACCTCTGTAGGCCCACATGGCACACGAGGGGCTGGCGTGGCCAGCACCATGCCAGGCCGCATTTGACTGCGCAGTGCCGAGATTTTTCCCTCTACGCCACCTACCCACGTTATCCCCATCGCAGGCGACCAGCTGTAGTGGTACCCAATTATACTTGCTGAGCGGACAGAGGCGGGGTGATTTTAAAAAAGTTTGCCCATTGTTTTAACTGTAGAGCCGGGTGATGGAATCAAGTCCAGTGTGATCACCACCGCACGACGGTGGTTATCGCTCTAGAACAGTGGTTCTTAACCTGGGGTGCACGCACACCTTGGGGGTGTGAGATGCCCTTTTCTGGGGGTGCGAGACATACCAGGGTATTTTTTTTTTAAGGTAAATCATTGAAACACAAATTAAGTACCGGCACGTAAGTACAACTTCTTTGTTTGATCAAACCTATGTATTTATTTTAAAAAAATATGATTGCGAGCCAAAAGGGGTGCAAGGCTACAGTAAAGGTTAAAAAGCACTGGTCCAGACATTTCCATAAATGCGGCAAAATCTGCGGTTACCGTTTTTTTTGTTTAAATCATTTTTGTCCAACGCGGTGACTGGCAAATGGCAAAAAATAAAATAAAACCCATTCTATGGACCCGACGACAAACGGTCCTTCTTTCGATTCATAACGCACGTTTACCATAAAGGGATTTGACACGGCAATTTGGCTGTCGCACGGAGGAGACGTGCCACTGCCACAGATTGCCGTCACTGACCACGTGCGGACCCCCCCGAGTTCCATCAAAAGCGTTCGTTTGCTTCGGCGGGACCCCGAAAAATTGCTTCAGCCGACCCTGGGCATAATCTAGACACATCAATCACCTGCCTGCCTCTCACACGAAGATTACAAAAGAAGACTCCCCCCCCCTCCACCTCCCTCCCTCTCCCACCCCTGCCCCCATTGCCTGGAGGAGGTTTCGGCTCAAGACACTGACGGAATAGTGGAAACTTGGCAACGATTATCGATTCGTGGGGTCCTAACACGATAAAATTTGCTTTAATAAAAAAATGTTTTATGCAAAATGAGACTTGCACGTGGTGGCACAGGTCTGCGGCAGACTGCTTGGCGCGCGGATTTAAATTTGACGCGAACGCCAAAACATTGCAACGATTTTGAAAAAAGCCGATGACGACGATGGCCCATTGTTGTGTTTTATTTTTTCTTTTGTGCGCTCCGCAGTTGCTCGTGAATAACGGCGACCGCTGCGTTTATCTGGCGCCGCGTGCGTGCGAGCGGCGGAAAACAAAATCAATACCAAAAACACACCCATTATCGCGAGTCATCATCAAACATGACGAACAGATCAGTCGGGCCAATTTTCCCTTCTAAAATATCTTTTTGAATGGACAAAAAAATATATATATAGAACATCGGAGGGCGGTTTTGTCTTTTTTTTGTGCTTTGCGCAAACGCCGGTGGTGACACGTTGGGCCAATTGGCTTGGCTCGGCTCTCCTGAGACCCCACTCACCTCGCTGACGCTGCCTTCTCCTTTTCGCTTCCACGACCGGATTTTCGAACTGAGTCCTTTTGTTCAGATGGCTGTACGGCGGACAAACGGGGAGGGGCATCACGCCGATTCAATTTCAGTCACAGCAGCCGCGGAAGAGGCAATAATTGCGGAGCGCTCGTGCACCAGTGACGTCACATCGAGCGGGAGCAATTGCCCTGCGGTGGCAGTTGAAGCGTACGATGTGTGTGTGTGTGTGTGCCTCCGCGCGTGTGCTCGTGTGTGTGGGGAGCGGTGGTGCAGCGGTTTGGTGCGCTGCGCTGCGCTGTGCTGAGAACCCGGCAACCAGCAGGGTTCAGTTCCCACTCACGGCCTACACCAGTGGCGATGATCTGAACCGGTCCCGGGCCTCCCCTGGGTAGACTCGGCCTCAAAATGAGTACCTGCTGCGGTGTGTAAACATCGCCGCTGGGGAGAAAAAGGCGATGGGGGCGTGGTGCCGGCCACCTCGGGTGCCGCGACGGCCTGCATTTGGCGGTTCCGAACAGCACTTGCCCCAACAGTCTGGCAAGGCTTAAATGGGGAATCTTTGTCTCTGTCCGTGTAAGAACTGTATGTTCATAGCACGCGTGGGAGACGGAGTTGTAAGCGCAGTGTGCGATGAACCCGGAGAACTTGAATTCGATTCCCGGCCACGGCTAAAATCAGCAGCAGCAGCAATTATCCGAACCAGTCCTGAGATAATGGGCCAAGTCGACTCGCCCACCCCGACCCGACCCGACCCGGCCTCACGCGACCTTCGGCTGGCAGGGGCTGGCGGTGGTCCAGCCGCCCAGCCGCCTGGCCGCCCAGCCGCCGTGCACGTGGCTCACGAGAGTACTCACTCGACGTAATAGACGCCGTGCTGCGGGTCATCGATCCTCTCCCATCCGTACGGAAGCTCTGCAACGAGACACAAGACCGCTTACATTGGACGCCCATTACCGGCGTGCAGGCTCGGTCACGCCGCCAGCGTGAACGGATCCACACGTGGGTGGGTGCGCATCGCACGCACAGAAGCACCATCGAAAGGAGGTGCGGTTTTTTTTTTCCCTCTCTCCCCTACCACCTTCATTTTGCACTTCGTTTATACCGAGGAAAAAGTCTCACCGAGTCTCAAGAATATTTTTTTCAGGAAGGTCCCTGCCAAGCTTTGCGCAGTTGGTGGGGGGGGGGAGGGGGGGGGGGGCGATGTTGCTTCGTGTAAATCCCAATTGAGTAAATTGTAGGTCAAATTTTTCAGCATTCAGATGGTTTGGGCCAATGCCGGCTACATTGTATGGGTGGGGAGGGGGGGGGTCATTTTTTTAGCTATTGGAGGAAAGCGGAGAACCACACGCTGAAAACCAATGCAGAACAAGGGGAGGGCGGCGTGCAACTCCACACAGAAAGCCGACTCTACAATCAAACCCAGGCGCTTCTTCCTGCGAGGCACAAGTGTTGCCACTGCGCCACCCTGCCAGGATGTTTGAGATGTTTCATCATAACCAGCAACGATCTAGACACCAGACTTTAGTTAGTTGCTTTTAAATATAGTTTAAAAGCCTAGGTTCATCATTAGCTATGGTTAATCTACTGAAGGCATCCTCAAGCAGTTCCCTACAGTGTTGTGATATACCATCGACCACTGGCACACATACTTACAAATAAAAGTTTGTAAGAGACGAATGAACAATAAAATACCATTATGCCTGGCCTCGCAGACTCTGACACACAACAGTTGAATCAATAGAAATGTATTGGGAGTCGCCCAGTTCTCATGAAACAAGGCCTAAAAAAAAGCATTTATGATTAATGAAGGCCATTTAGAACAATGGGAAAGCTTCACCGAGACTGCATTAAGTAGCAAAACGCATATCAGGAGAGTCAGGCAAAGCGAGAAAGGATTTTGCCAAAGCTATTCCCAGCGAGGTTACAAAGATGTTCTCCGACTATAAATAGAGACGCATGAGCAAAGCCAGACCAAATGCTAGCAACTCAGTTTTACTGATGACCAAGTCTCATTTTATTTTGTTATTATTATTAGATCGTACAGGGCATTTGCTAATCTACTGCTGGATGAAAAGCCTCCCCATGCTGTGTTAGTAGTGTTTTTTTTTAGTGATCACATTTCACGGTGCTGGTTAATGCAGGTTAAGGAGCAGGAGGGATAAGCGAGGAAGAGGGACATGGACCAGTGGTTGAGATATAATTCGCCACTGTTCTCACTAAATGAACTATTAAGTATTTTTATTTTACCAAGTGTTGTGGAGTAGTTGATGATGTCATGTCACCCTGGGGTGTAGAATGGATGACGGCTTGTCACCCGGGGATATATAAGCCGAGACGAGTGACGTGAACGGGGGGTCGTCGTGAGGGGCCGGGAACAGAGAGGTTAGACGTGGGGACCCAGGGTAGGGGGAAATTAGCACCAGGCTAGGCGGGCTACTTCACCCGGCCGACCGAGTTGGCTGATCCCTCGGTCGGTGCTGAGAGAAGAGCCTGAATAGCCTGGGTGGGTGGCTAGGGACCTCCCAGTACCCTTTCCCTGGGGAGTTATACGGTCGCACGTAATAACTGTTAGGCGTAAGCCCCTACTTAGTTCCTAGGCGTAAGCCCCTAAATAAACCTGGCATGAGCCCTTACCAGAAGAGGTGTCTCCGTGTCGATTCTTCAACGCAACACAAGTAAGGCCCACCGAGCTATATAAACGCTTTTTCAGAAGCGACCCGACTATCACAAATGATAGCTCAGCGAAGTGGCTCATCATACGGTAATTTATAGCAGCCAAATCATCTAAACGCATGTTAATTCTAAATATGGAGGACCCGGAGAAAAATGTACGCAACCACGGGGAGAACATGCGAACGTCAACTTAACAGGCGTCAGGGTCGGGATCGAACCCCACAACCGCCTGTACACCAGGCGAGGTAGTTAACATCTCCTAGCCACCGTGGCGTCCCTTGGCCAGGAATCAAACTCGTGCCGCTGACTTCACGGCGCAACGGAGTGCTTTACACGTTCAATGCCGCTTCAATTGATTGTGCCCCCAAATGTTCCCAGGCAGGTGCCAGAGCATATCCTGGGGGAGGCATCGGTGCAGGTTCATGAAACATTTTCCCATAGATTTGAATAGCAGCACAGAATTGAACCGGGGTCACCGGGTTCGTTTGTAACGTTGTTACATAAACCACCGCGATACTACTCCACGGCCACACACACACACACGAGCCCAAGGGTCCCCTCGTACAGCCGTAGGGACCGTTAGGGTATGATGTGCTGTTAGCGAACGCCTATTAAGGATGGAAAAGCACGTGGAAGAGACTGTGTAGCCCAGCACCACATCCGTCCACTTGTCTCCCAGTTGCTGATGTACAACCAAAGCACGTTTTAGGCCGAGTACTATGATACTCAACAAACGATTGCTTTCCCAGGAAAGCCTCACGGAGTCGTCTCAAGGACTATTTCTCAAGAAGGCCCTGCCAAGTTGTTGCAGTGGCGGGGGACGATGTTGCAATGTGCAAATCCCAAGTGGAATTTTTTTCATCCATTGGGATATTTGGCCAATACCAGATACGTCGTATGTTTTTTTGTTTTGTTTTACCGACCTCGGGGAGGACCAGGGCAGGTTCAGACAAATTACCACTGCCGTTATCCAGAGCGGGGAATTGAACTCGGTTTAGATGCGTTTGTATCAGTGCATGACCCAAGTCAGCAGCACATTCGGTATGCATAATTTACCTCTTTGTATACTGTACCGAGATTGGTCACAACGCTAACAGCAGTTTAAGGCAGCATTTAACAGGCCTAGGCTGTAAAAAAAATTACCGCTGGTGCTCCCAATTTAACCTCCGTGCTTGTCATCATAAGGATCATATTAAATCAAGGTGCCAATGAGAGATAACGGATCCTTGCTCCATACTCCGAGGTCATCAACGACCAATTCAAATAATGCATCATAACGGTATGCATATTTAAACTGCACATCGTTATTCACGGTCAAAATGATAAAATATTAACTTTTTGCTCATCGTGCCTTTCTCTCTGCTGCGATCCGCTCAGAATTCTCCACTGATGAATTCACATAGAACAGTATTCACATTCAAATGATAGGAGATAGAGTTCAAGAATTGAGAGAACCTGGCTCATTACTCTCAGCTGCCATTCACTCTCCCTTGGCTACACCGATGCAGTCAAATACATCACGGAGCGCCCCGATAGTTAAGCTATTTGCTTTCCGTGCCATCTGCAACACTGTCCATTGCAACGTCCCTTTGTTGTTCCCGGCTATACATCAGTCTGTGCAACCACGCAAACCGTCCGTCTTCACGCGTCGCGCGAGTGCGGAGCGGTAGAGCAATGGGTTATCGCAGCGCACTCTGAACCCAGCCAACCTCTGTTCGACTTCCCCCCCCCACCCCCCCACTCACGGCTGGCATGAATTGACAAACATCTGAGCCGGGCTTCGCCTAGGTCGACTTAGCCTTAAATGAGTACATACTGCAGTGTGTTAACATCAGCAATGCTGCCCATACAAATCCTGGCGTGCCGTTGATGGCCATTCATAGGTGCTCGCCAAAAGCACTTGCCTCAACAGCCTGCAAAAAAGGCTATATGGGGAGTTTTATATCACATTGTTTTCCTTTTTAAAAAATACACACTAAAGTAGACTTTTGGTTGCAATGGTCCATAGCAAAATGCAGCCCTTCGTCAAACTACTGCTGAATGCAGTTCTCTGTACGTCAAGTTGTTTTGGGGTTCGCATGATCATACTTCACCATGCTGGTCAATGCCGGTTGGTCAACGGGCATCCCCCTAGGGCTGGTTCACGCACGACTCGTCGATACGGAGCTATAGTCCAGGAGTAAAACAAAATAATAATCAGATCACCGGGATCACAGTGCAGTGTGCTAACCACCGTCCCACCACTCCAACCCAATGGGCTCTTTCCTGGTCATGGAGGCAATCTTGTCTGGCAGTGTATGATGCTAAGCGCTGGTTAAATGAGCCAATGTCGGAATGAAGGGCTGCGAAGTTTCACGGATGTGGTGCTCACCCCTCCCCCCCCCAAACCCCCCCGGCTACAGCCCTGAGCGAGTGGTGCAAATTCCACATTCCTACGGCGAGAGCGGGAGAAAGTCAACCCCATAGGGCGACCGCTGGAGAGACAAATGTCTCCGCTTTAAATAAGAATTGAGGTTGAGCAAGGGTTGAAAAAAAAAAAAAGATGGCAACAGAAAAAAATCAACGGGGGACAAAACAAAGATCCGTGTAATTTTTTTTTGTTTGTTGTTGCAAATCAACGGACTAGAGCGCCATTAAAACTTGCAGAGTACAAACAGCGTGGGTAGCAGCGCTATCATCGCCGCGTCTTACACCATCGTTGGGTTACCCGGCAACAGACGATGACTCCGCCGGCACAAACTACGTGTTTGTTCGCTCTCATTAACGGCATCTCGCACGCATTTATAGAGCCAAAAAGCACCGAGGCGTAAATAATACGTCCCGATGTTGAGTGGGAGGATTTTATGCCTCACCGTTTTTCACTCGCATGTAGACCTCCGATTTAAAAAAAAGACAAACATTTTTTTTTATCGGAAAGCCAATGGATGCGAAAGACACAACGCAGACGATCCCTGGGGGTTTGATCTTTCACGAAGCGCGTGGTCCACCCTAAAAATCGCATCTGCTACAGAAACCAATGGCAGATGCAGATAGCGGACGCACAAATGAAAAATTAAAAACTCTGCAGCGGTGTGTGTGTGTGTGTGTGACCGTGGTCATCCAGAACAGACCGTGCAACGGTGCAAACGAAGCAATGCCCCGATCCACAAATACGAAGGAGACAACGCAGCGATTCGCCGCTCCCCACGCGGTTATCCGGCTTGACCGCCTGAACGTGAGAAATTGTAATTGGTTGCTCTGCATCTGCATCAGCCGTACGAAAAGAAAGAAGAACTGGAAACCGCAGTTCCTCTTCAGCGGTTATCCTTCGTCGACGCACCGGGAGCCGAGCACGCCGCCGTTTTGCCGAGCGGGCGGTGGCGCTGCCGGCACAGCCGCTCGCCCGCCCGCCCGCCCGCCCGCCCGCGTGCCAGCGTGCCAGCATCAACGGAGACTTTGCGGAGCGAGAGTGCGGCACACGGGATGCGTGGCGCGAGCCCCGCAGTCGCCCTGGTTAATACTGCGGGCGCGTTGAGCCGTTAGAGAGTCGCAAGCGCGCCCCCTGGCCGTTTCGTTCGTGCGGTAGACGTTCGAGATCCGTCGATCCCGGACGTGGACACTTGAAATGTGCATGCCTTTATTTTATCAACCCCCCCCACCCCCCCCCCCCCCCCCCCCCCCCCCGATTTGATGAATTGGGAGAACGCGCATTGATAGCCGCACGTACTGCCGATCCGAGTTCATTCGATAACGTGGCAGCGGCGAACAACAACGTGCCGGTGGTGCTACAAGACCGGGGTCGACCGCTCGGCGAGGGGGAAACGAAACGTGTTAGGATTAACAAATGTCACTGCTACAGATTATCCGTGGAGGTCTTGTTCACAGGTCTTGTTCACAGTTCTTGTTCACAGTTCTTGTTCACAGGTCTTTGTTCGTGTGGCGGCTGAAATAGGGCCGGAGAGAAAGCGCACTCGCCAGACGCGGGCTCCCAGTTTGCCTTCCAAATGGTTCCACGGTTTTTCAAGAGGCGATTGCCACGAGAGCAAAATTTTTCTTTTTTTTGTTAACAACAATGCACACGGGAATCTGCTGTGAATGCGAACGGTATCAGCTGGCGGGCAACGAGTCTTTTCTGGGCGGGGATTAAAGCCTTGGGAACATCGATAGATCATCGCGAGCGCCGCACTTCAAGGCAGCCACATCGAGAAACAACAAGAGTTTCATCAAGGTCACCCCCACTGCCTTTTCTGTCACCCCGCAGACTTTTTGATCACCTACCGTTTGGCCAGCGCTCCTCTCTCTCGCTCTCTCACAAGCTCCCGCAGATATTTAACATCTATTAGACCGCTCACTCAACCCTGAAATTGTAATTAATTTATTGCATGTGCGCACGTGTGTGTGTGTGTGTGGGTGGGTGTGCGTGTTCGCACATAAATGTGAACACACAGAGCACACACGCAATCCAGTTCTTGCGTACACAAAGCACGGCGACAGTAACAGGCGCGATAGCCAAGATGTTTGTTGCCAGACAATTGCTATTCTTATATATATAAAAAAAAAATTATCTTACCCAGAATTTAATCATTCAACACGATGCTATTCACATAGAGCCTTTTCTGGGAAGTTCACTTTTTTGAGCACACTCGGCATTTCAAGAAGTGGGGATTTCAGCAAAAAAATAAATCAAAATTCCCGACAACAGCGTCTTTATATTAGTGGTCGTCTCTTCCACAAAGAGCCTCTTCGCTGCCTCTCGGCCATTGCCACAGCCAGCCAAGGCTGTCCACCGAAATCAGCGGAGCGTTAGCGGCGGGTGGGGGGTGGAGGAGGAGGAAACTCAAATAAAGAAACAGATTTCATCCGTTCTGGATCGCGGAGACCCGCGAACACGTCCGCGAGGCAAGGGACGGGGTTAAGACTTCGACCGCGGCGCCGAAATGTGCGGCAAGGAACCGCCGAGAGGGGAGGGAGCCGCGTAGGAGTCTCCGGCGAGCAGCCGCATCATCACTGCGAATCCACGCCGGCATTTAACTCGCGGGGTGGAATTCGCCGGTTGAGCGCTGTTATTTATAAAATCGGGTTTTGCGGTTCCATGCGCTCCCCCCCCCCCCCCGCACCGCAACGCACGACGTACGGCGGAGACCGCGGGCACGTTCGTGTCGCGAGGCCTCCGACGAGGGGGGGGGGAGGGGAGGGGGGGGGGGGAGCGCGACAGTTTTGCGACGGCAAAAAGCGAATCCCGCCTTCCACAAGTGTTTATCGTCCATTAAATGGTGCCCAACGCCGCTCGCGCAAGGAAACGGTCCTGCGGCGTCCCGGCGAGAAGGCGGTTTGTGAACGAAAACGTCAAGAAAGCGAGAGGTCGATTCGCGGAGGAGGAGGACGAGGACGAGGAAGGGGGGGGTAAAGAAAACAAAAACCGGCTAAGAGTAAAGCGCTGCGGAAAAAACATTAAGACAGCAATGAACGAATCTCATTAACGAAACAAAAAAAAATTATGTGCGCTCGTGAGCAAGCAAGCAATCAATCGCAGCTTCTTGTTAGCGGGAAAGTGAAGGGATGATAAATGCACCCCGATGTGCAAACAAGCAGTGAAACGCACAGGCACGCGCGCACACACACGCACACACACACACGCACACATGAATACACCCGCGCGGGTGGCATGCCCGTATTCCATAAGGTACAAACATCAAGGGGGAGAAAAAAAAATCACATCAATGTCAAAACCACTTTGAGTAAATTCACAATCCGCAATTTGTACATACGAGCATTCCATGGTTCGCAATCATACGCGTGCGCGCACCTGCCACACACACACGGAGGCAGCGGAGAAACATAAATTTTAAATCGCAGCCATATAAATATATATGTGACGATAAATAATAATAGGAAAAAACAACAACGTTGCATGGCGAGCCGCAATCTCAGCGATTGTGTCCGACTCACAGCCCCTATCGGCGGCGGCGGCGGCAGAGGAGGAGGAGGAGGAGGAATTTACGCATCTCACCATCGTCATTGCACAGCTCCAGTGGCTTCTGCTTCTGCACTCGTCTGGGGTCCAACCACGACGTCGTGCGGGTGCTGTGGCTACACAGACGGAAAAAAAAGGTGACATTTTATTAAAAGGGTGGGGGGGGGGGCGGCAGTCACATGACGGCAGGCACGTCGACAGCTGCGAGCTGTAGGGCAGCTGATTTAAAGAGAAGTGCCGTGCACTCCCTGCAACGGTTGGGGGGGGGGGGGGGGGGGGCGGAGGGGGGGGGGTGGCGGCGGATGAAAAATAAATAATATTCTACGTAAATAATTTAAAAATAAAATAAGAGAGAATTTTTTTTTTTTGCAGCGTGATGACTGGCGACTGCGTTATGTGAGATTATGTTCAGCTGCACATCGGGGGAGGGGGTGGGGGGAGATGGGGTGGTGGGAGGGGGTTGCGGAGTGAATGAAAAATAAATCTTCGATCTCAGAATACAGCGCGCGAGAGCGAGTGCAGGGGAAGAGCAGAAATTAAAAAGGCACCGGGGTGGATGGGTGCTGTATATATTTTTGTTCTCCCTCTCTCTCCCGTCTTTTATTTTTAAATGAGCTGCTGCCCGCGTTCCCGTTGCGAGCCGAGGCTGCATGCAGACGACGGGGCCGTGCGTGCTCCTTCCCAGGCCAAGGCACCACGTGAAGAGAGAGCTACAGCGGCCGGCCGCTTACCCTTCGTGAATTCGGCACGCACAACTACACAAAAGGCGACATTCCCCCCCCACTCCCACCGTGCCTCGCTACGTGCGGGAACAAATGCAAATTAGGAAATATCCTGTTGACTTTTGATTTAAAGCTTTCGTGACCGCAGGGATTCATATTCTTGGTTCTTTCGGTAAAGTCACGTAGAATGGAAACAATAAAGTAATAAAAATATAAAATAGTAAAATTCTCACGACGTTTCGACTGCAACACACGCAATCATCATCAGGTGTGAAAACCACAGCAAGAAAATTAGAAAAATAAAAACCGCCACTTTTTTCAAAATTTCTTGCTGTGGTTTTCACACCTGATGATGATTGCTTGTGTTGCAGTCGAAACGTCGTGAGAATTTTATATTTTTATTATTTTATTGTTTCCCTTCTACGTGACTTTACCGAAAGAACCAAGAATATGAATCCTGATTTAAAGCTTTCGTGACTGCAGTAATTCATATTCTTAGTTCTTTCGGTAAAGTCACGTTGAAGGGAAACAACAAAATAATAAAATATATATAAAACAATAAAAATTCTCACGACGTTTCGACCATAACACAAACGGTCGTCTTCAGGTGTGTTGGTTTGCATAAATTTTTTTTATTTTTAATATGAATATGAATCCTGTTGACTGTGAAGGAAACTAAGCGGGCTCGGGTAAAACATCTCTAGATGATGGAGACTCAACGACGGTGGAGACTTAACGACGGAGTGACAGCCAAAGAGGAGAGCATTCCCAAAGGGGGGCATCCACCATGGAGACGGAGCCACAGAGTCGGCTCACGCAGGCGTCAGATGGATCGTTACAAATCGCACAAGCGCCAGAGATGACAACGGCTGGCAGGAGTCCGTCACGACCGACACACGCGAGCGGACGCCCGCAGTGGTGGAGCCGACAGGATCGGATCGCACGCCATGCGAGAGTTCACCCCCGGTATACGTCGGAATCAGAATGTTTATTTATACTAGAGGAATCCGATGAGCTACAAAGCTCTTTAATTTCCACAGATGTCCAGTCGGTCGTGGATGAGAACGTTACAACAATATAAAAAAAAACAACAGAAAGTTTATGCAAATCACGAAACGAATTACATAAATTAAACTAAACTATTTTTGCTTCACCAGGTAGACCCCACCGAGTTATTATTTTCTTTTTCAGAAGCGACCTGGTCACAAATATTTCGCGCAACGAAGTGGCTTATTGTGTGGAAATTCATCGTAGCCAAATAATCGAAATAATCCGTGTGTGTGTGTGTGTGTGTTGAACTTAATTCGCACCTGACTTAGCCAACCGTGCTAATCAGGCGCGGGGTCAACGACAAACTAATCACAAAAAGCAGGTCTTAATAAAAATCTGTTATTTTCATAACGTGCACACGTGAATGGCACGTGGTATACAACTGCATGATTGGGTAAGCGTTGGAATGGGAACGAGTTTTTTTTTTATATATATTTCGTGTTGGTTTTTTTAACCACCGACTTACGCAAATGCGTACGTTAATAATAGTTGAGCAAACACATCGTTGTTGGGACACCAGCGCATCCGTGCACTCAAATTAGTGACGTAGTATTCAATGGTGATGGTGTTCACTTAATAGAGTAAAGACTTTTACGAACACACCCGCAACGTGGTGCGGGGAAAGGAAGCCCTCGGCTCGTGTCAAACCGGCCCATCATCCCTCCAAGGCCATTATACTATCAGTTCTACTCTGTGGGAAGACAATCGTTTTTATTTTAATGACCGGAACTGGCCTCCGTTACCATCATCAAAATCTATTTATACTGGAGGAATCCGATGAGCTATCAAACCTCTTTTTCACACATGTGCAGGAGACAGCACCAGCCATGGGGCAATCTCCTCCTGGACGAAGGCCTCGCCCAACCATCGCCGTCTCTCACGATCCTGCCATGCACTTACCACCTGCACTTGAGCTGACGTCATCGGATCCGTTCCATTCCTTGGCTGCCACTCGATCATTACCCTTGACCATTGGTCATCATCCCTTCGAGCGACACGTCCTGCCCAAGTCCACTCTACCCTGTATCACAGTCCGAAGTGTGCCCTTTTTAACCTCGCACGTTCTCTCCCCAACGAAGCGGCTCTCAACCCGCGGGACGGTCCGAGGTGGCGCGGGCTGCGGCATGGACACCGTGCAGGATAACATGTGAACGCGCGGGGGGAGGGGGGGGAACGTCAGCGCCATGTTGCGGTGACACAACACACCGATTACACAACGTGAAGCCTTGCGAAGACCGCACGTGGACACGTAACCTTGGGGTCCTCCGGGCGTGCACGGGGATTGAGGAGCGAGTCTGGGGACCCGTGGTCTTTATTGGAGGTGGGGGGGGGGGGTATGGGTTAGTGTGGGGTCGCCATACCATGAAATGGTTTCGATTCACTACTTTTAATCACCGCCATAGGAATGTGGAATTTCCCACATTGACTCAGGGGCTATCGACGGAGATGAATGCCACCCGGGGCTCACTTGAGCGAGGAAACAGGCGCACGCACGCACGCACGCGAGTCGATAAACAGCTGTCACGGGCAAACGCTGCATCCTCCACTGGTCAGTTCAATTAAAAGGCAATTTTCCAAGGCCAGCCAACTTGTCGTGGGGCATGTCACGACTCGACTATGAATTACACGTCAGTCTAATGGACACAAGGACAAAAAGTGATTAAACCTATCAAGCGTGTTCTCACATCTGAGAACCCCGTTTGTCAAGAGCAGTCCGGTCTGTTCCCCCGTACGATGGCAATGTGTTCCGGAGCTGAATACCAATGTCGAGGTCTGCTGGCCATGGACGAGAGGGCTTCATGAGAGAGTTTGTGCAGTGTTGCCCTTCCTCCTCCATTGCAAGAGGTATACGGTCCGCAGTTTGGATTTCATGGCCACAAATCGCACGACTGCGATTTGTGTCTTTAATTCTCCATCTATAAAAGGAGCTGTGTGCATATGCCTGTTGATGTTCTGATGCAGTTGATGGTTACACCAGTGTCTTCGAGGAATGCCTAAGCAAGGAGGTGCAAAACTTTGGGTCTCAAATGGAGGTGTTTATTCTGGACGCCCGCAATTTTTACACTCCGTTTTCCAACAGCGTTATTCCAGATCTGGGCGAGATTCTAGGATGGTGACAGCAGTGCCATCCCAGAAGGGATGCGATCGGGACTTGGGAGTCGCCCACGAGGAAACATCGCCGAGGTCTTGGTAGACGGGTCGGTGGTTGTCGCTGACAAGAAAATCGCACGGATACTCGAGAAGAAAAACTGAACCCGGGGCGGACAGAAATCCTTAAAAATAAAACATTCAACTTAATCAGTCGTCGTCCTCATCATCAGCCACGATCAATCAATCGAATGCGAGATGCAAACCTCCCCAAGCAGTTGCCATTTCACGCGACCCTGAAACGCAACAGTCCAGCGGCCACCTGTACACGAGCGGATTTCCGTCACAAACATCTCCTTGGTGGGGACATGCGTACGCTCACACACGCTCCCCATTCCCTAGCCCATGCTCCATCGATTATTTGTGACCATTGGTCATCATCCCTTCTAGCCGTGTCTATCCATAGGGCAATTTCTGTTGCTGGAGTGGTCAAAAATGGATAGTTTTCCAACGCCTGGCAGACTGTTCATGCGCTTTGCTTCAGTCCCGTTTCCATTTGCATAACGTCGGGTTTACTGTGGTCATTGCTGACCATCATCAGCCACGATCAATCCACTGCTGGATGAAGGCCTCCCCCAAGCCGCCATCTCCCACGATTCCCCTGATGTAATCGCTCCATCTCTTTAGGTGGACGGTCTCCCAGGCAAGCTGTTCCACCTCCTTGGCCGACACTCCATTGCTAGTCTTGACCGTTGGTGACCATCCCTTCAAAGCGACACATCCTGCACCCAAGCCAATTTCTCTCCCTTAGTTTGAATGACGTCATTAACATGCGTATATTCTGTTATGCATGCGCTCCTCTTTCTGTCGCCCAGTGTCATTCCAAGCGTGCATCTCTCCATGCGCTTCAGTTTTTCTCCTATTATTTTTTTCTTTTTCACGACAGCGCCTCTAAACCGTACGTCTTAGAGGAACCGTGTGCCATGTATAATTCACGCGTTACTCATGCGCACGTGTTTAAAAGTTGATGACAGTACAGTACTGGAAAAACTTGTGGAAATAGCGACGGGTTAACTGATGGTGCCCGGGCCATGGACACGATTAAGAAAATCGTTTCACGTCCGCGAATTTTTTTTTTTTTTTACGCTCCGTCGCTTCGTGCGCTGGAATTTACTAAAACACAACGTTTCTTCGGTCACCACCCCGCCCCCCTCCCATCGCACGCCCCCACCACAGTCTCCATTATCAAGTAGCAT